CTCGGGGGGGGGGCACTTGGCTTTCCCCGGGAGCACTGCCCCCCCCCCCGGAGATATAGCTGAAAGAAACCCTGCCCCCCTCCCTCAACGTCCACGATGGATTTCTTCTTTTTAAAATAAGTACACCGTAGAACAGCGGTTCTCAACCTGTGGGTCGCACGACACTTTCACGGGGGTCACCTAAGACCATCTGAAAACTCTTGTACTTTACAGTTAAAATGTGTCAACGAAAATAATTTTGTGGTTGGCGGTCGCCACAACATAAGGAACTGTATTAAAGGGTCGCGGCATTAGAAAGGTTGAGAACCACTGCCGTGGAACAATAAAATTTTCCAGATAACCCCACTTGAAAAAAACGAATTTAGATGTATTTGATCTTACGGTTTAATTTAATTTGTTAAAGTGATTTTTGAAATTGTATAGGCCTATTATTTATTTATTTGGTGGGCGAGGGGCGATTTGCTTCTATAAAATGGGGCCGAGGCCAGCGCGGTTCATTACTTAAAGTATAATAATAATTGGGCTAAGAGTTATAAAATGAAAACGGTGGGAAGCTGTGTTCTGGCCTAATTAAAACAGTAGGACCATTTTTTAAAGAAATCTTGTGATATTAAACCTATTATAGAACAGTGTTTCTCAACGCGGGTGGTACCACCCCTATAGGGTGGTGGGATGTCCCAGGAAGCACTAAAATGCTCCGTAGAATCAGATATTAGGGACTGCTGGGGATATATATTTATTATTCATTGTTATCATTGTTAGTTTTTAAAACAAAAATATATGTATTTCAAACTTATAAAAGGCAACGCGTTGCTGGAGGGGGCAATCTTCGTGACTTCATCAGCTTTATTATGTCTTTGTTTCCATGGAAGTTGATTCAGAGGTTAAATAAATGTCGTTTTTTTAGAAAGGATAGTGAGGGCGCTTGGTGCAACTTTGCATAACTTTGACTACTTGATAACTAAACGAAAAGTTCACTTTCAAGGCAAGGACATGTTGTTCCTGCGTTTTTTTAAAATAATTTTTTATTTATTATTTTGTTTGTTTGTTAATTAATTATTGTTTAAAGTTCCTATTATTTCTTTTACTTTTTATGGTGTCATTCATAAAAACTTAAAATTTATTGACTTTCACATTGCCGCTATGGGAAGCTATTTTTTAAAATAAATTTTGCAAATTAAAAGAACCAATGCTTCTTTCAGTGCTGAGTCCTTAGTTACTAGACATGACTTAGCTATTGTCACGAGTATATGCAGATTTCAATAAAAAATCAAGTTACATTTGCTAGGAGATGATGTCAATCGTATTAAAACCAAATGAATAAACTCTACTTTCATATTAGGTAAATCAATTCTGATAAATTGCGTTATTGACCGATATCCAAGCCCTTCAGCCTTCAGGCCTAGAAGAGAAGGGCTTTACAAGATTATAGCTCAGCACGTCACTAGGTTACTCAGCGTGGCAAACTCATGGTGCTACCATCGTCTTTTTTCAGACTTTCCATGGACCTCACTGAGTCTGTCTGCCCTGGTGACACCCTGCTTTGGTGACAATCTTTTCTGTTTGCAACTACTCTGTCTCGTGCCTCCCTGTTCTGGTGACAATCTGCTATGGTGAGACCCTGTTCTGTTGACAATCTGCTATGGTGAGACCCTGTTCTGGTGACAATCTGCTATGGTGAGACCCTGTTCTGGTGGAAACATGTTGTGATGACACCCTGCCTTGGTGACAACCTGTTCTGTCTGGTAACATCCTGTTTTGGTGGCTACCTGCTATGATTATGATGGCAACCTTATTTTGTGGCACCCAGCTCATGTATTTAAAGGAATTCTGTTTTGAGACTGATTTGAGCAAACACTCTAAAATTTGCAATTTACAAACATATAATCCATTCAATTATATTTCATTTGATACCTCATTTTGTCTTACAAATCCAACAATAATATTTTTAACAGTTTTCTAATCCCTACCTCTCACTTCTGATACCCGGGTGTGAATAGCCACTTCGATTTTTAAAAAAGTCAAGAAAAAAATGCTTCGCTGATTTCGGGGAATGCCTATTCTATTTTTAGTTTGCTTCGCTGAAAATTACTAAGCAGTTATAAATACACACAGCATATACATTTAAACATGTTGTGGCCTGCCTGATTGAACACTTGGTAAGGCAGCAACAATAAGTTTGCAAAATATTAAACACCAACCGTATTCTCTGTGGTAAATATGTATATTTTTTAGTTTAAAAAGTATTTAAAAAATATTTTATTTGTTTTAAATTGTATCATTTGTTTGAAGTAAATCATAATATTCATATAGTTAGCCTATACTACAATATTACCGTAATATTGTAAATAAAATCACAAAGGGGGCGTGGCACTGTGATTCTCAATACCGTATGATATAGACCCTTACCTGATTTGTGTTCCTACATTCTTTTAAACCAAAAATTTACAATTTTCATAAAAAGGAACTGCGGATTAAAAATATATAGATCTATTCTAGTATTAACCTTAAATTGCTTGATTTTTTTTTTCATTGTAATGAGACATATACAAACACTTTGACTGTTTTATAACTAAAAATATTTAAAGAACTATTGTAAATTAAACACCTTGAATTCAATCTAGTATTCTGTTGTATATAATAAATTAATAAACCATCTGTTTTGTTTCAATAGAATAGTCTAGAAGAGACATAGACTGGAACATTTTGGGACTAAACCAAAATCGTGAAATTAAAATATTTTATTTGGAAGCATGGCAACAGCAGCAACAGCAAAGAAAACATGCCCGTACGGTTCAAAATGCTATCGTAAGAACAAAAAGCATCACGAGGAATTTACTCATCCAGGAGACGAGGATGTCTTGCCAGAGAAAAAACAAGTGAGTCTTTGCTGTGGTGATTTTTAAAAAAGAAGAAATGCGACAAAGGGCTTGGTAGCTACTTCATTACCTTAAATGGGTCTTTTTTTTAAATCTGGAGGCCTGATGACAGTCTTCTGACTTCAATAAATTGAATATGAAGTTCATTTTAAGAGACCATCGAATTTCACAACTGTATCATTTACATTAGGTTTTTCCAGGTGGTACACAAGAAAAAAAAGTTAAGAAGATTACATAAGTGGTGCAATATTTTAAAACTGTGATAATCCTTTAAAAACGATGAACATGCACCATCTAAACAACTTTTTATTCTTCTTTTCTTATTTGTATACGTATTTATTAGCCAATCCTTACAGTTTTTTTTAAAGAAAAGCTTCCCTTTTTAATAAACATAAACCTATGTTTTGATATATTTTTCAATAGATTGTTTTAAAAAATATCGTTTTTAAAACTGCTGGTTTTATAATAATTCCAAGTCAATCAGATTTTACCTACAGAAAGTATATCATGATGTCAAAAAAGAAGCAATTATAAGCTAACCCAAAAGTCAATATACATACATACATACATACATACATACATACATACATACATATATATATATATATATATATATATATATATATATATATATATATATATTATATTAAAAAAAAAGAAATAATAATCTAACACAAAAGTCATTATACATACATACATACATACATATATACATACATACATACATATATATATATATATATATATATATATATATATATATATATATATGTATATTGTATATATATATATATGTAATACTTTTCAGTAAGAAGTAGCTTAGTAACATGTAGATGACTTATTAGTTTTATAAAATATAATAGTTAAAACCACCACCACTTTTTTCCCGCTCTCGATTTAGCGCTTAGTTCACGCCATCAGTGAGAATAATGACAAGCCCCCAGCCTTAAAGAAAAGGGCATCCAAAAGGAAATCCGATGAAAGTGCAGACGAAACCGCGTACAAAATAACAGCCAAAGCCACGCCCACATCATTTATTCCATCGCCAAGTACACCGACGCCGTCCCCTAGCAAAAAAGTAAAACTCGCTGACGACGAGGAAGAGAAAATTGCTGTCGACTGCAATAAAACAAAAAAGAAAACTTCATCACCGGAGTCCAACGGCCCAGCAGGCACTGACGCCACAAGTAAACCGGACGACGAGAGTTCGACCAGCGGTGAGAGCAGGGCGGTGCCGGAGGTGATACAATACAAGGAGAAGAAAGCCAAATGCAAATATTGGGACGCATGTTATCAGACAAGTGAAGCACACAAGAAGGAGTTCGATCATCCTAGTGATCACATGGAAAAAGGTGTACATCATAAAATATATATATATATAATATATACAATAACATCTTTCAGTGGCTTAGTTAGGGTTAGTGCCACCCTGGGCCAAGCTTTGTGCAACTTTGCAGTTGGCTTAAAATGCCGACCTCAATATAGAGAAAAAAAAGTCTCGCCCTGGGCTGACCACCCCCTCCGCACCCCACTTCCTATCCCACTGCCAACGCATATTCTTTACTGGTTCCTGCATGCGAATTAAATGGAACCACGATTACGAGGAGTTACTTTAGTCATTTGAATGAAATTGAGTTAATGTACATGAACATTTGAGTCCCTCGTTTTGATCAAGTCACATTTTTTAAATGTTTGGACTGAGGAGTATGCTCCCAAAACATGTAGAAATGAGACTTTAGGACTGAGGAGTATGTTTTCAAAACAGTAAGACATGAGACTTTAAGACTGAGGTGTATGCGGTCAAAATATATAGACATCACACTTTAGGACTGAGGAGTATGCTGTCAAAACATATAGATATCAGACTTTAGGACTGAGGAATGCTATCAAACAGTGAGAATTCCGACTTTAGGACTGAGGAGTATGCTGTCAAAACATTTAGATATCAGACTTTATGACTGAGGAGTATGCTATCAAAACAGTGAGGCATCAGACTTTTGGACTTAGCAGTATGTTGTTGAAACAGTAAGTCATTACAATTTAGGACTGAGCAGTAAGCTATCAAAACTGTACNTGTTTTTTGTTGACTTTGTACCGCGCTTCGAGCCTTTGGGGATGAAGTGTGTTTTTGAAATGAACTTTATTAATATTATTATTATCTTTATCTCTAAGCCTCTTACCTTTGGTTTTAATTTTTTTTTTTTTTTTAAGGAAAAAAAAAGAGGATATGACATATTTTAATAGTTAAGTCTAAAGGGGCTTGACCAAAGTGGGGTACTCGCCCTATTGGGGGGGGGGGGTGCGATGTGGTATTTCAGGGTTTGCAAGGAAATGTTAATTAAGAACAGAGGAGTCATCCCTGCTTAGGCTTGAAGTACTTCATAATTTGTAATTAATATAGGAGCCAGAATGATTAATAAATTGATCGCGGGCCTCTTAAGATATAGAAGAAGATGACTTGACAGTTGAACAAATGATTTCAATATATATATTTAAAACAATGCTTATGAAGAGCCTCATTCAAGGGACATTTTTCTTAACATTTCTTAGTTACGCCTGTTCTTTTTATGTTGATTCAATGTTTAAAGTCAGGGGCGTCATTTCAGGTTTTTTCAAAAAGTAGGGGGGGGGGAACCAAATCTTGGTCGGCTTGTTAAGTTGTTTATTACTGGAGGTGCCACAGTATATAGGAGTTAAAATTAAACCTGCAAATTCGGGTGGGGGCGGCAAATGCCCCACCCTGACCTAACCAAATGATGTCCCTGTTTGGAGTGAGCAGTTTTGTCTATATAAAATATAAATACTTTGCGAAGCCAGGTTATGTTTTCTCTTGCCATCGACAACCAGCATATGATTAAGTATTTTTTTTTATGTAATGCCATTATGATTTTGCTCTCATCTCAACAGGACACAGAATCCAGTGGGATGGTGGATAAGTGAAAAGTTGGATGGTGTGAGGGCATTTTGGAATGGACGGTGAGTTGGCGTCCCATACTATGCTGCACAAGTAGTTTAAAAATATGATGCGGTTTCATTTTATCAATTGTATATGCTCTATGAAATATTTTAATTTTATTTTTAACTGTATAAGACTACAGCTAATACATGTAAATTCGTAAATACAGTGGCGTAGCGAGGGTGTTTGGCGCCCCGGAACAAGATTCGCGCCCGGGGACAAGATCCATTTTTAGCACCCCTTTTTCTTTTTTTCAACTCTCAAACCCATTATTTTCATCAATAAAATAATATCAAAACACATTTTGGCGCCCCTAACTAGCTGGCGCCCGGGGACATCTGTCCCCCCCTGCACCCACCACGCTACGCCTCTGTGTAAATAGCATTGTTTTTGCTAGGGCTGACCAAGCAAAGGGCTTATTATTATGTTGACAAACCACTATACCCCATCCACGAATGTTTAAGTTACTTTGAGAATGTTACATTTAGCCAAAAAAAATAGCTTGGTATTGGTCTCTCAAAATTTGAGAGGGCGATATATGTTCATTGTAAAACTAAGTCTAACAACTCCACTTAAAATGTATGATGGTAAAGGTCAGTGTTTTGCTGGTTTGTTGGTCCAGATCAATGGATTTCATCAACCCACCTAACTAAACCCAGTTTAACTAAAATAAACTACCACAAATGACATCAGAATAGCATTTAGTCTAAAGGGACCCGGGTCCGAATAGCGGCGATGCGTGTCCGGGTCCATTTTGACTAAATGCTATTCGGGTGTCATTTGTGGTAGTTTATTTTACTTAAACTGAAGAATTAAGTTAACAAACATATAATCCATTCCATTATCTTTCACTCGATACCAAATTTTATCTTACAAACCCAACAATAATATTTTAAACTTTTTAAAATCCCAACCTCTCACTTCTGATAGTCGGGTCCGAATAGCCACTTCGCTCTTTACTGTAGACCAGTGTTGCCCAACAGGATGCGACCGCTCCACAGGGGAGGCAATTTGAAATTGTGGGACATAATTTAATCTCTGAGATAGGAGCTGTATATAGCCATTTTTAAATATTTTTTTTTTTACAGGCGTGTTTGTGGTTTGTTTTTTCCGTGGAAGGGGGCAGCAAAAAACCAGCCTTTGCCGCGATACTGATACTTTGTCATTATATCAATTAACATATGTTTATCTCTTATTATATTTATAATTCTACGATGTTGAATCTATCAGGAAAATTGAAATGTAGTTTTCATGACTGCAGCATTTAGACTTTTTTTTTTTTAAATGTATGCATAATGAAATAAAAACTATCGCAAAACAAAATCAAACATTAAAATTGAACATCGAAAAAAACCCACAAAAAATCACCACTGGTATTGAAATCATAGGCTACTCTTGTGGATGTAGTCGGAGGCGTAGCTAACATTAATGCTCCCCCCCCCCCCCCCCCCAAAAAAANCCCCCCCAACGAAAAAAACTGTAGTTTACCGAACATTCTGATCCTCAATATGTAAAGAACAAATGCCACCCGGGGCGGACCACACCCCTACGACTCCACCCCATTCCTACGTTAGTGGACGTAGTACATGTCTGAAATCATCTGAAATGTTTTACAGGTGTTTCTACTCCAGACTGGGAAATGCTTTCTACGCTCCCGAGTGGTTCACTAAGGTAGATATCATATTCATATCTGATGCCTGCCAAAACTCACTACTATGTAACAGGCATATATTAACTAGCTAATGACTGGTCGTATGGATGAAAACACTATTCATATTCTTACAATTTACTTTATTTTATCATCATCGTTATTTTATATTTTAAACGTTAATTCAAAGTTTAAATAAGGCTGCCAGTCCTTACGTCTTTTTCCCAATATGATCAATTGTTTTGAAACTTGTGTAATTGTGTTTCATTAGTATAGAGTATAAATTTGTGGCGTATATCGTTCCCTTTTTTCTGAAAACAAATATGGCCACCAAAGAAACTTTTTTAAAAAAAGGTGTTTTTTACAATATAAATTTGGTGTCATTTAGATTATAACTATAATGAATATATTATGTTTAATCGAGCTGCAAAGTATAATAATAAATGTATTTTAGTTGCAATAAAAGGGAGCAAGGGCTTTTTAACTTAAGATAACTTTTACATGAATCATTTTCCTAGGCAGTAGAATCCTTGACATAAGTGTACCACCAAACCCGAATTCTCCCTTTATTTTTGAGTTAGTTTAAAACAAATTACAAACTGTTGCTTTTTCTCTATCCTAACAAACCAAATAATTTAATTCTTAAATTATTACAGACAAAACGTAAAATTGTGAGATATTTGTTTTTTACCCTAGTTCATATATATATATGGGTATGTGGGAATGATTGTGGGTATAAACTTGAATAACACTACAATTGTTTAAACATATAATGAATATTTCGATATATTTTATTTGACACACAGGACTTGCCACGAGACATACATTTAGATGGTGAGCTGTTTGGTGGTCGGGGTGAGTTCCAGTCTACTGTGAGCATTGTGAAGACTGCCGAGAGCCCCAAGTGGAAGGATATCAAATATTATGTGATTATGACATTTCTTTTCCATTGATTTGCTCTTGTAAAAAATATTTAAGTTAGTGAGATGAGATCACGAACGAGAAGTGCCAAAGTGCTAGATTTCACTTACATCACTGTTAGACATAAGTGTTCACAAACAAGCCGAACATTCAATAGGCGAAGTTCTAGCATCACTATTAACCTAAAGTCTATGGCATCATAAACACAACCCCCAACTTCAACCTTTTGTTTACAAACTTACCTGACAGTAAAATGATGGTAGCTAACGATCTACGTAAAGGTTTGTGATGACGTATCATTCACCCAGAAACAAATGTTACCGAATTGTTTAGCCCGCACTAATATTTGGAGTATTAATGTTTATGTCATTAATGTTTATGGTACAAATTATGATATGCATTGTATTTACGATTTCACGCAGGTATTTGATTCACCCCACATGGGAAAAGAAGTATTTGAAAAGAGGATGCAGACCATCAAGGAGTATTTTGAGGCCCATCAGTAAGTAGTTGAACATTTAAAGATTCTTCAAGAATATATTTCTATGCTGTTCAAACTTTTCACCAGATTTTCTTTAAAAAATGGTGATAATTCAATGCATTGGACGGGTCTAAATGCTACAAACACTTACACATTCAGAGAGAGAGTGTGTGTTTGTACCTTTAGAGAGAGAGAGAGAGAGAGAACTAGCAGACACTTCAGTTCCTTTTTTTAATATTTTTTTTATTATAACTTGATCGCAATCTATCTCATATTGTCCCTGCCAACATGATTCCATTCTATTATTGCAGACCAGAATATGCTGTGTTTGTTGAGCAAACAAAATGCAAGAGCAAAGACCACCTGGAGGAGAAGTTAACAAGGATTCTCAACATAGGCGGAGAAGGGCTTATGATCCGCCAACCAGGTTCGGTGTACGAGGCATGTCGATCTAAAACGTTGTTAAAAATCAAGAAATTCTACGACGCAGAGGTGAGCACTATGTCACACTATATATTGTGTTTAAATTTTTGTATTTTCTCTGTGAGTGATATTTTTTCAACTTATGAACTTAAAACGAAGACTTCTTAAAGAAAAAGAAAGTTTAAAATAATCTATTTTAAGGCATCAAGTTTTCGCGTTCCAACGAAAAATTCTTATAAAACTAAAAATAAGCTTGAAGTAAAATTGTTGGGCAGTGCCAGGGTCCAACGCTGACAGAGTATGAAATATTATTACATGTAAACGATTTCATCCCTATAAAGGAAGCATGCAATACAAATATGACCAAAATTAGCTTATAAACCATTATACAAATCTTCTTCATTTTATTTTAAACTTTTATTGTTCAACATCTCTTATAGGCCATCGTTATTGGTCATGAGAAAGGCAAGGGAGCTAATCAATCCCGCTGTGGAGCACTGCGGTGTCAAATGGCGTGTGGCAAAGAGTTCTCAGTTGGATCTGGGTAAGTAGCACATGTCTGTACACTTTTGTGCAGTGTTCATTTATTATTACGCGTTGGTTTTCCGCACTAGTTTTGAAATGTTCAAGGCTTGGAGGTTTCGTTACTTCTCAAGCTGTAAGAGATATGAGATTTATTTTCTCTTTTTTCACTTGAAAGTTGTTACAATTTTATTTATTTTTTAAATTATTCCTTTCTAATTTAGGTTGACAAACAAAGATCGCAACAATCCACCAAAGATTGGTAGCATTATTACATACAAATTTCAAGAGTTAAGCAAGGGAGGTTCTCCTCGCTTCCCTACATATGTGGGTGAGTTGGACTGCTTTTTAAAAAAAAAATCAACACTTTTAATATTTTATCTGCGATTATCAATTTTGTATGTCACATAAATTTTCAACACCACCACTTCCATCGCCCAGCATTATATGATACAGATCATTTTACCTACCATAACAGCCATTTTATGGAATTCCATTACACATAATTACCGAAGAAGACATGCAGATTCCAAAATGGCCATTGGATTATAGCATATAAACCTATTTAGTATCTTGCTAATGCCTCCATTGATCTATATACTTAAAGAGCATTTGCACACCGCCCCGGGCGCCACATTGGTATTTTTAATATAACATTATATAAATTATGTTCTGAGTGTGTTGTGGCGCCCTTTAGGGGATTCGTCCCCTGGCGAAATTAAGGCAAAGGACACCATTGCTAAATTATCAGTGTTCCTATACTCATTGACACGATCGATGCAAGTGACAGTATTTCATTGCAGTGCTGTAGTATACATTGGGAAATGTTCTCAGCAGATCCATGTCATTGCACATTGACACATTACGCACATTATTACAATACGCATTGACTATATTATTGCAGGTATCTGCATAGATAAAACAGAACCCAAAGACGCTGATATCAGAGAAGTTATGGATGAGGATGAGGCCTAAAGAGCTGACATGTGACCATTAGTTGACTCTTAATCTCAGCCAGGCTAGATCTGCTATAGCATATGTTTTTTTTTTTCCTTTAAATTAATTTTGATCGTAGATGAATTTTTAAGGAATGAATCACTATACTTGATATAATTATAGAGTAGCAAAGATGTTGTTGAATGTACACAAGAAATAATCCTTCACTTGAACTCACCTGAGCGGCTGTGATCTCACAAATTTTAATCCTACTATATATACTTATTTATTGATTTATTTTGATATTTTATTTTGAATGTTATTATAATTGCGATCCCAAAAGCATTTCATGTAGCTGGGTACTTTGGATTAATTTCAACTGTGATATTTTACTCTTATGAAAATATAGCAAACTTTTTTTTAAATTTACATAAAATGTGATATATCAAGTCGTATACAGTGGCTGTTTTATGCACTCATACATTAGGTGATGTGTTTTAAATACAAAATATCATTTGCAGTGTCTCGCTTTGATTTGCATGATGTGATATGAGTAAAATATATAAAGCCATAACGCAGTGTCTTGCTTTGATGTACAAACATGTGATAAAAGTTAGGTACAATATTCAGAGGCGCAATGAGGGTTTGGCAATACACGGGGACCAAAAAAAAAAGGGGGGGGGGAGCAAAATAGGTGTACCTGAAGAAAAATATGTATAGTTTTTTTTTTTAAAGTTTGCCAATAAAAATATGAGGCGCAATGAGGGTTTGGCAATACACGGGGACCAAAAAAAAAGGGGGGGGGAGCAAAATAGGTGTACCTGAAGAAAAATATGTATAGTTTTTTTTTTTAAAGTTTGCCAATAAGAATAATATTATCCCTACGATTCCCTGTAATTACATTAATTTGGATAATTTGAATGTTCACTTTAACTACATAAAAGTAGATTTCTCAAGCTTGACGAGCCCTTATGCACTTTTTTTTAGTGGTGTGTAGGGTTCACAACGAGTCTATTCCATTTGGGGAGCCATATGAGGTTAAGATAAATCATAGGATCATATAATAACACCATTGTATTGACAAACCAGGGGGCGGGGGTACACCTTGCTAATATCCCTCTGCATGAAGTGATATGGGGAGAGACCACCAGTCATCACCTCAAAAGGATTGAGTTAGATCTCACTTGTTTTTTTCAAGACCAGAGCATGGACTCTACCCAACTTTATCCTATTGAAGGAGAGCATTAGAAACAGGGGTTGGCGTAAATTTTAACAATTATGCCTGAATAGCTCCAATTGGTAATTAATAGTGTTACTGTTAGGCAGTGGTAGGGATCGTATAATAGCCAGGAGCGTAATACAATAATTTGCGAGAGAGGGCTGTCATAATGCTTAAGAGAATGAAAAATGTGATGACTATTTTTTGTTCTGTTTAGGCGTGTTTAAGTAAACCCTCTTTTAATTATGGTGTAAGGTGTTGTATTTTTAAAAATAAAGTTTTAAAAAATGTGTTTACTTTGTGTTATTTGATCTTCGTTGTCTTAATTATTTATGTTCTTGTAATAATTAAAAGATTTTTTTGAACCAGAAAATTTATTTTGGTTTTTATTGCATTATTGAACATTTTTGTTATTAATTAAAATGGCTTAAACTTTTGTTTTAAAAAATAATATAAATAATTGTTTCATCTATATCTATCTACCTACCAACCAACCTACCTAACTACCTACCTTACTAACTAACTAACTAACTAACTAACTAACTAACTAACTAACTAACTAACTAACTAACTAACTAACTAACTGACTGACTGACTGACTGACTAACTAACTAACTACCTACCCACCTACCCGCCTGTCCGTCTGTCCATCTGTCTATCTATCCATCACCTACCCACCCACCCACCTACTTACCCCCCCCCCCCCCGTACCCACCCATCCATCCACCCAATCCAATCAATCCATCCATCCGTCCTCTAACTAACTGACTGACTGACTGACTGACTAACTAACTAACTACCTACCCCCCTACCCGCCTGTCCGTCTGTCCATCTGTCTATCTATCCATCACCTACCCACCCACCCACCTACTTACCCCCCCCCCCGACGTACACACCCATCCATCCATCCAATCTAATCAGTCCATCCATCCGTCCGTCTGTCTAATCTAATCTAATCTAATCTATCTATCTATATCTATATATCACTTTATATTTGAATATTTTGCAATGCTTTAGTATTTTAATTTTCCTTTTTTATTTCTCTTCGAACTAGCCATACAGAGGAAAAATGGAAAAGAGGGGGGGGGGGATTTATTTTGGAAAAAGCAGAAATTATGCTGCGCAATAAAAAATAAGTTTCCATTTGTAAGCTACATCTGAAAGAATTGTGAATGAATGCCACTTTTATTGCGGAACCCTGGCAAGAATTTGACAATTTTACCTTGACCAATGTGATGAAATTCCGCAGTTAGTGGATAAGGTAAAAACTTTGGATAAAATTACCATTCTTTCAGACGTCCAATCAATAGGTCCATTTTCAATATAAAAATGATTTGACTTAATTTATGGGGAACATTTTCCGAAGCACTTTGGGTTCGTTCACAAATTACGTCACGCTAAAAATAACCCTTTCAGACCCCCTCCCCCCTATCACAAAGTGTCACAAATTCTTTACCCCTCCCCCCCCCCTTTTAGTGTCACGTCACACCTAAAAAAATATCAAAACATACATAAATTAAATTTTCAAAACTAAACTAAGATTTTAATTCATTCTTTAAAATGTTCCCATGATGGATTGAGATGTAGTATTGTTAGAAAACTCTAACGTAAAACAACGAAGTCCTCCCTGAGACGAATGTAAAATAGCCACAACAGTTTTTGCGATTTTTCGACATGAGTTGCACGGTACTTATTATACCTGAGGCAATTTCGACCTCAAATTAATTTTTTTTAAAAAATGAATTGAATAAAGATTTTTCACATTAGATAGCCTTTGTAATAATGTGCTAAGTCCTTTGTAAGTTGTCATAAAGCATGCTATATTATTTTAAAAAAAATTGCAGTCATCAAATAAAACTCGAAATATATTTGAGATTAATAAAATGAGTTAATCGTTTCGCTTGTGAGTGACCCTGAAACTGTATAACAACTAAAAGCTGAGATTAATGAATGTCTTATGGCTTTAGGATTCAAATCATTTCAGAAAGAACACCTTCAAACCACTGTAGAAACTGAAGACACTATTTTTAAGTGCATTAATAGAGAAAGCGTTTTATATTTCAAAATGAAGGATCCTATTCTTTGAGAGTACTGTGAAAATAATCATTTTCTAAATTTGCGTCTATAAATGTAATTTGTTAAAAATGCTTCACGTTTTCTAAGTTCATTGGTGACTTGATTCTGAATTATGCAGAAGCAGAGTTACAACAAATAGGCGTATAACATTTTCAAAATGCTATTCAAATGCTTTACAAGTTACATAGACATAGCAATTTTTATTTTATTTTTAATTTTTTTTTTTTTGCCAGTTGCGTAGCTAGGTGTCGAGTATGGGAGTCCAATAATATTTGTTGCGACTGAATATTATATATTATTATGTTTCATTACGCGCGGTGTGTGTTAAGAGTTTTATTAGTGAACGCTCTTCCCACGCTTGACTCTGTGACGTATTTTTATGCTAATTGTGACGCATTGTCTATACGGTATTATGACGTAAGTTTAGTCGTGCGGAAGACGTGAATGGAGACCGGCCGATAATTTTGCCGCCGTTTCCAAATAAATAAAATCTGCAGTTGAGTTGGGCGAAAATTCCACCCCTCCATATGAGAAACAAAAGTGACAAACTGAGCGTACTGCCCCCACCCCCCTATGGCCCCTTCTATGCCACTGTGCAGAGCATCCTAAGAGATGTCAGAAACGTTTTCCTATGCCTAAGATGAAGGAACACAATTTTTCGAAAATTAGGCTGTCGTCAACGGGCTCACTGGGCACAGGTGAAATACTTTATACATGTACTGGATTTATGGAAATAAAACTATCTGGTATTTAAAACAAAAATCTTTTTTTAAATATTTTTTTTTGTAATGCGTATTTTTTAATGACTAGGCTACCTTTGGGCTTTCTATGTACACATAACATGCGTCATCTGGCTACAGGAAGCATTTCATTCTCATGACTTTCATCCAGTGCGGTTAGTTGGTAATTAGACAAATCAAAATGGTGGGGAAATGAAACTGAAAGTACACTGTACACTATTCGGAAATATCTATTTATAATAATAATGATTAAGGGGTCAGCTCTATTTTCATCTTTATTTATGTGCGGCTATGGGCACACGGCTCTAAGATATTGAAATAATCTTGTTTCAGGTAAAGACTTGATAGATTTTTCGTTAAGAATATGACTGAGGAATTAATATTATAAATACTAAAATTAGTTGACCAACTTCAGTGAGCCTTGCTTTGCCTTATGCCTTATGCCTTCTTTATAAATTATACATTATAAATGGGTATAAAGTTGTATACCTCCTTACTCTTTTACTCCTACTAAGAGTAAGAGTCTTAGTAGTCTTAGCCATCTTATTTTTTATGAGAATGAGAGCATCCTGGCATCCAACTCACTCTCTGACTCGACTATTTCTATTATTTGACACAGTCACAGTAGGCCTATCTATTATTCATGTCATTTGTCATTTTCATTTATATATCATGAAATGAATCTTGCTACTATTTTTAACGATCTATCAACCAACTTAACAAGTCCAAGTGTAGTGTAGCAACCAAGTGTCTGTTACTGTTTGTGGTGCTAGCTAGTTAATTAAGTTAATATTAATTAGGGGTGTGCCGGACCCCGGTCCGGAATCCGGTTCCGCCGGATTTTGCACTATCCGGTGAAATCCGGTTCCGCCGGATTTACATGTATCCGGAACAACCGGATTCCGGAATCCAGAATATACCGGATTTCGGAATTTGCCAGATTTTGTGACTCACCGGATCATAATCTGAAATAAAAGTAATTCTCTTTCCCGAATTTCACACGATCACGATACATTAATCGATTGTTTCGAGCGTTGAGCTTGTTTAATGTTTAATATTCCGTACATACCAGAGGCTAGAGTCAGCACCGCTAATAGTGGCCAATAGTGTAGGGACTTTGATAAGAAAATTTAAACTTTTTGTAAAAATAAACCAATGGCATAGTTGAAAAGATGTAATTTTTTAAAGAATTATAACACCAAAATCATATTTTTAGCTGTTGTAGTTTTAAAGTTATGAATTTTTAAAGTACGACTTGGTTTGTCATTTTTTAACATGGACTGCATCTCCACATTCTGTGATCTCATTCCACCAATCCCGTCATGCGCAATGACTATATAGTTTATATAAGGCAACGCATTCCCTGCCTTATCACTAAAATACTGTTTAGACTTAGTTTAAACTTTCAACTTTGGCACATGAATAATTAATTAAAGCTTTCCCTGACCAATGGTTTAATAGTTTTTGCACACGGCAAACTCTTATGAATGAAACTCTGAGGTAGTACTACGATACAGTTATGCAAGTGGCTGTGAATGGTTGCCAATGACAACGTGTTGCACACGGTAAATTCTGATCATTTATAATATGGATTCTACCGGGTTGTTAAAGCTCAAATTAAAACATTCCAGTTTAAATGTCTTTAAATGCATTCTGAAACACAAGTTATCAATTATTTTGATGTAAATAGTGATAATAAATTAATATTTCCTAAGTATCGTCAACTTCCGCCATTAAAAAGGGGGGCGTGGCCAACCCCATGGCGAAATTAGGTTGAGCGAGCTGCATGACCTGCTGCGAACGCGTAGAAACATGGCGTCTCTCGTAAGACACTTATCCAAATGGAACGGAACTCAAATATATATCGAAAGTACTAATTTAATAATAAATAGACACACACATCGGAAAATTAAAAACTCGGATTTTTTGGCGCCGATTGCGAATTCCCATACACAAAAAGTAGTAGTCCACCTTGACTTACCGAAGTATCTACCAATAGTACCAAAATCCGGAATCCGGGAGAAACCGGAATCCGGATCCGGCGGATTTCGCATAAGAAAATCCGGATCCGGATCCGGTTGGAAAAAACGGATCCGGCACACCCCTAATATTAATAATATATTAATAATATAAATATAATAGTAGCAAGATTGCATTGATAATTGAATGAGTCAATGAGTGATTTAGTGAGTACTCTGATTAGCGATAACATTAGTATATTATCACTCTTCACATGCACTAATAATCATTAATTAAATGAATTATTTCAATTGTCCTAGTCCTAAGTCTAAGCCTTGCGCCCTTAGTGTTGGTACTTAGCCTAAGCAGGACCTTGGGTAAATCAGCTTTCTGCTAGTGTCAAATCCTTGCATGGCCTTTGCCTTAGTCTTAGTTGGGACTAGTAACAATTCAATTTTTTAGCCTTTAAATTCTTAAAAATGTTTGTGTAATTTATTACTAATAAATTAGTAGACTTATTAGTACTTATTACTGTGTTCTGTATTAAAAATTGAATAGTAATAGTATTATGTTTATAAACTTGCTACTGTCACTATAACTATAATTTATTATGAAACTTCTAAGCTTAAAATTACTTTTTAAAGTAGACTAAAAAAAAGTAAGCTGTTCAGTAACTGAGTTTACACAATGTCAAGTGGTAGGGTTATGGTTGTTGGTTCTTTGATTTAGAAAGAGTTAAATCCAGTGCTTTTTTTAAATCAAAGAATGCACCCAAACGGCGTTCCGGCACCTTTTTTAGACAGATTTTCCCAAAAAACTTTTGACAATTTTATCTTTGGTCCATGTGCACTTAAATCTTTCTGTCCAGCATAGCATACACAGGCAACATTCCAACTGACGACAACAGCGCATGCCACTCCAATCTACAAAAAAGTGTAGCATTAATATCCTGCCAACTACCGCCCTGTGTCCCTCACCAGCATAGTATGCAAACTATTGGAGCACATAATCGTAAGTGCGGTCATGATTCATCTTGAAAGCCATAATTTACTCAATGACTGTCAGCATGGCTTCCGAGTAAACAGATGTAAGACCCAACTCCTTGAATTTGCTGAAGAATTGACGTCCAATTTGGAGAACAGCAAGCAAACTGATGTGCTTGTGCTGGACACTCAAAGGCATTTGACAGTGTCAATCATAGTTTGCTATTGCACAAACTGCATAGATATGGGATCCAAAGTACTACCAAAACATGGATCTCTAGCTTCCTCAGCGACCAATGCTAGGCAGTAGTGGTAGATGGCACAACCTCCTCCTTTGTCGTTGTTAAGTCAGGTGTTATGTAGCATACATTGCCTGTGCTTGAATTTTACTTGACCTAAATTAGAATCCTAGCAGACAGTAACGTCTGTTGTGGGCGTGGCCTATTCGTTTGATGTATCTTGTTGACTACCGCCTTTCCAATTAAACCTTGTAAGACTGCCTCCTGGTATTTTCTCGAATGTGCTCGATAACCCGAGATATGTAAACAACACGTCATAAGTCTTTTCTGGAAGGCAGGGCTTATGCGACCTATATAAGGGATTGACAGGCACGGACGGAGAGACAGAGATTCAGATAGATATTATTAACTTTACGAGGCGTGTATTATTCTTTGTGTATTTGTGTGCTCATATGTGTTTATTTCGCATTTCATCATTATTCATCGGCACATTATTCTAACTGTGTTAACTGTGTACCGGTACAAGATCTACCATACTGTAAGTTGATGATTTGTAATGATATTTCTTTTCTTTTGTAATTACATTTATACTTTTTAAATCTTATTAATTGTAACTAGAAACTGTTTTGGGTGTCGTATCTTTAATATTGTCGACTCTATGGTATTGTTCTTTGTTAGGCACTGCTTACAACGAGCCAATTAAAATTAACATAGGAGATTAATTTCTCATATTAGAAGCCAGTGCGTAACACAGGGGTTCCCCAGGGCTCGGTGCTAGGCCTCTGTTTGTCCCTAGCATATATCAATGACCTGCCCGAGAAGCTGACCTCTCAAGCAAGACTGTTTGCAGACGACACGGCGGTGTATGGTACAATCACCAACAGTTCTGACCAGGACCAGTTACAACAGGACCTCCATCGGTTAGCAGAGTTGGAGATGAGCTGGGACATGGAATTTCATCCCATCAAGTGCCAGACCCTGTCAGTCTCCAGAAGCAGATCCCCTCAACACCACCCTTACAATTTGCATGGTCATATTCTGGAGCCAGTTTCCTCCGTTAGGTACCTAGTTGTTACCATTCAAAGAGAGGTCCGTTGGGACGAGCACATTAATAATGTGTGCAACCAGGCAAACAAGACCCTGGAGTTCCTAAGGCGAAATCTGAAGATCAGCAACTCAAGCATGAAAGAAAAAGCCTATAAAGCCTTTGTCTGGCCGCTTTTAGAGTACGCATCTACAGTCTGGGACCCATTTACCCAGAAGAGCATTGACAGGTTAGAGGCAGTTCAGTTCGCTTTGTCGTTTGCTACAGAAACACCTCAAGTATTGGCAGCATGATGGAAACACTGGGCTGGTCACCATTGGAAGAACGACGACGACTATCCAGGCTCTCCATGTTGTACAAGATAAAAAATGAGCTGGTCCACTGCTCCAGCATTAAACTGAAACTCGTTCATGTCCACAGGCAGTTCCGGTAAATAAAAACAAGAACTCAGTACAGGAGCTCCTCATTTTCCTGCCAAAGACAATAAGGGACTGGAACAAGCTTCCAAAAGCAACAGTTGAGGCGACTACACTTGACACATTTGTGTCTATTGCCTCCTGTCTTCCAACCCCCAGTTCATAATACCACTGCTGAGTAGCCCTTGCAACCAGTGAACCCTTGAAAACCATGCGCAGTAACATCGCGAACCACTGTGAAACAAAGAAAGCCAGAATTATCAATTCATTGATCGTGGGCTCTCAGAATATAGAAGAAGAAGAAAGGGGTGACGTGGGAGGGGAATAATTAAAATGGTGCTTGCAGGCTGCTTTGTGGAAGGGGGCGGCAAAAAGCTTGGCCTGCCCTTGGCAGCACTTACCCTACCTACTCCACTGCGTGTGAACAATAAAAATATCTTTCTTTTTTTTTTTGTGTTAAAATTTAAAAAAAAAAACTTATTTCGTCTTAACCAAATGTCCTGCTAATAAAAAACAAATAATATTAACAGACACAGTGAGAGAATAAAGGAAAATAACAACTGTTGATATATCTGAATCTGATCTTGAGAAGCAAAGCAGAGCAAAATTTAATGACCTATAATAAATATATATTTATATATAATTAAGGGGTCTTCCATAAATGATGTCACACTATTTCGGACACAACGCCTACCCCATCAACACAAATTGTCACAATGAGGACACCCTTATAATATTTAGTGATTAAATCATGACCCCCACCCCCCCCCCCAACCCACAGATGCATGATGTCATTATGGCTGACCCCCCTGAAAGATAAACAAGATGTGAGTACCTGCACCGTATTGGTTAAAAGAAAGCACTTGGTAAATCAAATAAATTTTTAGACATGATCACAATAATTCTACATTGCATTTCTTTAATTTTTTTGTTTTGTTTTGTTATATTGCAGATATGTCATTTATATTGAATCATTAAAAAAAAAATCACGAAGAAAAAACTCCAAAATGAACATAGAGGCTAATAAAGCTGCTTTAAAGGATATTGTCATCAATTTCCTTAAAACTTGTCCAGAGAATAAATGTAAAAAACAAACGTTTTGGAATAGGATTAATGTGTTTCAAAAGAAACCATTTCAGTGCCAGGATTATGGAGTTACCAAAATGCAAGCTGTCTTAAAAGAGTTTGAAGATGTTATTGAAATTGATAACAAATACATAGTGTTAAAAAAAGTCAGAGGTAAAAAGGAAGTTGTGGTGACTGATTCTGATGATGAGACAGATTCCAATAACTCTGCACAAAAACAGTCATCGACACAAAGTAGGTCAGCCAGCATTCCTTTGAAAAGCAGGCAGAATCAACCAGGATCAGAGATGCCAACAAGAATCTCAGATGAGTCTGTCAGAGACAAAATTATTTCGGTGCTTGAGGCAGAAAATGGACAGTGTGGCCTTTGGAAGTTTATGGATTGTTACCGACGGAAATATGGTGAACTATGCAATCTAGAAAAACAGATACAAATTAACAGCGATATTTTAATAATGAAGCAGGATGTGGTTTATTTGCTGATGGATTCCAAACAGAGTTCTAGTTATCAGAAGGGATCGCTGACTTTCACCTCATCAAAAGTAAAGCCACCATCTTGGGGTTCGGGTCTTCAAAAAGGTAGGCATCTCAGTAAATTGAAAAGTTAACAAACTGGATAGAATTTGGTTATTGAAAAACAAAGAGTTTGGTGGTTCCTGTTTTAAACTTTCCACATAAGTACAGTGTAGTGTAGAAGGTTGGGGCTCAGGTTAATTGCAATGTGGCTAGAATGGGATGAAACAATAGTTCTTTTACGATGTCACTCCTTTGAGTCACTTATCCTTGGCTACAGTAATTTTCCGAATACATTGTACTTGCCATTTAAAAATTATGTTTTCTTCTTTCTTAGCTATATTTAATATTTCCTTATTTTTACACATGATGGAGTATAGCTTACTCTATCAGAATGAATCATAATCTATCTGCAACTTGAGTTATGTTATGGCTATGGTTTCTTCTCAGTTTTTTTGTTTGTTTGTAAGTAAGGGTCTGTAACACATGTTATTATTGCCCATGTAGCAATTCTTAACATGGTTTCTCACTGTAATGGATGGCCTGCCGCTATTACTTGAATAATGATTAATCTGCATCTGCTCCTCTCTTACTCAATAAATAATGATAATGTCCAATGATTACACAGTACCGGGTACTTTATTACATTTAATAACCACGTCAATGATAAGTCTTGCCAGGAAGATATCCTGCAATAATTCTAGGATGCAATAATCACACACTTATTCAATACCGGTATTCCATATCACAATCAAATCACAATAATTCCATAATCCATACGAGAGAAATTAAATATGTTTGCTCTTCCTTCAGATAAAAAATTGTGCACTACTTCTCACTCTACTTGAGCGTCCAGTCTACTTCCGCTCTAGAAACTAGTTCCCTCTTTTTCTCGTGATTCACCATGTTATAATACAATTACTACGCCATCCTGTCATAAGGATGAATATTAGTGTCATGTGTAAGATCACAGCGAACTTGGTCTGTTACAGGGTCAGTCTAATAATTACAATACATAATTTTTTCAAATTTAGGTCACATCATATTTTTGGATTCTGATGAAGAGACTGACTCTGATGAAGCAAGTGTTAGCAGCCAAAATTCCTCTAAACCAAAAACATCTGGATTTATTCCTCTATCAGGCAAGTGTTATTATTTACGTGTACATTTTGATGTAAAGTTCATGACTTTTTCATTTAAAAAAACAACTTGATGTAAAATTTCATCAGCTAATTTCAGTTTGATCAATAGCTTTCAGTTTCTGTTCACCACTTTCAGTTTAACAGTTCCTTTAAAAGTAATGCTTATCATTTTCAACTTAAAAATAATCAATATTTAGGTATTCTGTCATTCATAGATACACATCTTAATGTACATAGACACTCCTTAAATCTCTGTTAGCACAATGTTTATTACAATTTGTAATAAAGCAAAGAGGAAATATCCAGCTGTGATAAAATTAAGTTAAAGCAATCTGTGATTAATAAAAATCTACAATGGATCTAATTGATCCTAATAAAGGACCTCCACAAAATCAAGGACAGCTGTCACATCAGAGGTATGGACTGCTGTCACAAGAGCAGGCAGGGCAACAACAATATTTTTCATCACCTGGAATGCATTTGCTTGGAATGCCATTTCAAGCAACTGCCATGCCAATGCAAGCCCCAGGAATGAATTTCAAAGGATCTGGAGTAAACATGCAGGCGCCTAGAAACCAACCAGTGTCACTGCTAGGTAATCATTTTTTATCTGCTTTTATATAAAATACTATAAGTTATAATGGCAAAATCATGTGTTAATCAATATTATATTTACATGACACATGTTTTTAGATTTACGATGTAGAAATTGGTGTAACCACTTATTTTTATTTTTGAATATGAATTCTTAAAGAATGTTGCCTAGTTTATGTGACTTTAAAATAAGGCATAATCTTGATGTCAGGTAAGGCCAGAAACTAACATTATATTTGTAGGGATGAGATGATATATTTTTATGCCAATAGCAGACAAAGGATATACTTTATTTGAAAGATCAAAACCTAGCATTTTATAAATTTAAAATTTAAAAAAATCAGGGTCAGCTTATTTCTTTTGATTTGTACAGCTAGTTTTAAAAGTTTAGATAGTATAATATAGTAAGCAAACTATATGTTATAATTGATTACCCTTAGCTTAAAAAAATATAATAAAATCCCGGCCTTTAATTAAAATAGCAAGAGAAAAAAATGTATTTAGTCTTCCTGTTTTTTGTTGGTACGGTTAGCAAGGTAATTATTTATCCATAGATGCATCTTTATTTTAATTTTATTTAATGTTAAGCCAGACTGAATTAGGGTGGGGTGTTGTTCTGAAATCAACAATTAAAAACAAAGCACATATGATTCTGAAAGAGAGAGATAATCCTACAAATATAGAGGGTTTATACATTCATACATATTTTATGGCACTGATAACACTGTATTTATATTCCTTTTATTTACAAAGGTTAATTGATTATATATTATGTAAATTGGTGTTTTATATAAAAAGATAGATGGGAAGTTAACCAGATATGTATATATTATTTTTTTAAAGTTTTTTTGTATTAAATTAAGTTTAAGAAAGAACATTTAATAGACTACACAATAAAATTCGTTTAACGTTTTAAAAAACAATTTTCAGCCCGAAATTTTAAAAATGTAGGGGTGTAAAAGAAGAATTTAAATGATTCTGTTCAATGTTTTTTCAACAGGTATGCCAACTCTACAGAACACATCCCAATCCATGGCACAGAATTTTTTAACTAATTTTAAGCCATTGCTGCCTCAGGTAGTCCAATCAGATTTATTACTGTTTAAATTAGTTTAAGCTATATTCACATAAAAATACCTTGATTGAATCAGGATATTATTATCTACATTAATGGAGTCATGCCTTTATAGAATTATATTTGAGGGACTGCGTTCAAGAATCATAATTTTATCCCCTTTGGAGACTCTTAATGTAATCCATTATATACCTTAAGATTTAAAAGAATCATTATGTTATCATTATATATCTTGAGAGAATCAGAATGTTATTGTTATATACCTTAAGATAATTATAATGCTATAATTATAATGCTATAATTAATTTCCATTATAAGATCAGAAGGATTTTTATGATATACCATTATCTAATTGGACTTTAGCCGGAATGTTAGTTATTGAAATTAAAATGCTAACTAACATTCTGGCTAAATTTAAATATAGCCTAAAACTTGCAATAAAAATTGAAATTAAAATGCTTTTTATTGCAAGCTTTAGGCTATATTTAAATTTTCGGATCAGACGATGACAGCGTTCCTGATATTGGTTAATTTTTGGTTTCTTAGTCCTTAAAACAAATACTATTAGAACACTCCTCATGCTTCATGCAACTTAATTTTTGGTTCAAATTTTTATTAGCCACCAGTAAACAACTACCCATCACATCAGTTGGAATTTAGTGGTAATGGGCAACCTGCGAATCCATTTCTAGTTCGTGAGCAACCTGCGAATCCATTTCTGGTTCGTGAGCAACCTGCGAATCCATTTCTGGTTCATGACTATAAAGAGGTGATTGACCTGACACAGTCTGAAGACCGAATCTCCCTCCCTGAAAAAGCTCCATCAGAATGGCCCAAACCAACTGTCAAGTCAGGACCACCACCGGGTACCAAAATCACAGATGAAGTCAAGGCAAGTTCACCTTGTTGTTCTTCTCAGTTATCTATATTTTCCTTTTGTTTAAATCTCAGGCAGTAATGAAAATCAAGTTTAAAATGATTAACAAAAGAATTTAAAAAATCACTTTCTTGTGCAGCCATTTTAATCAAACTACTTTCCAAAATTTAAATGCTGTATAAAAAAAAAAAAAACTCAAACAAATTACACAGTTATATCTAAAAAGTTTAACAGCTATCCTTACATTGAGAACTAGGTGAATAAAAACTAAATCAGACATGTTCATAAAAGCCATTACAATTAGCACAAAACAGTTTCGAAAATAAGATAATATATGAGGGACTGCCGTCAAGTGAAGTAAATAAATAGTGGAACCAAATAGGTTTAGGCTTGAAAAGAAGAGAAAAAAAAACAGGACTCTTAAACAATAGAAATTTTTGTCCTGTCTTTTTCTTTTCAAACTAAAGCATATCTTGTTCCACTATTTAATTATGTGAAATACGACCTGGCGTTAGAAACTCTAAATGCAATTTTAAAATTTAACTGAGCAGGAAATTGTGATCAGGCCCATTCCTCTGCGTAGAGGAATACGTTTGACAACGGAAGAAGTTAACCTGAAGATCCAGGAATACATTGACTTGCTGAGTGGTGCTATGGAACATGTGTCCCAGGAGAGAGTTGAAGCCATCATCTTGCAGATCTATCAGGTTCAAAGAAAAATGTCTTTAAAACACTACCATATATAACTTCATAAGCCCATTTGAAAAAAATAATATTTTAGGGGATGTCATAGGGTGTTTAGCTTATGAGAGGGTCATATGAGATTTAAAAAAATTTCTCCAGATTAATTGATCCAGGTACATTGATCTTTTATGGAAAACAACAAAGAAAATATTAAATAACGAAAGTCAACGGACCTGTGTGCAACATTGGCCATGTGCAAAATTGGGTCTCACATTTTTTGTTCATTTTGCAATTGCTGTGATTGGTTATCACAATACTGACATTGAATAATGTAAGTTGCAGAGGTCCTATTTTTGGAAATTTTCAGTATGGTTTCTGTAAATACAGGTAGACCCCTAGACATGATGTTTACTGTATGTTTGTTAGTTATTATTTTTTTACATTCACCATAATTGTCTTTGAAAGATTGGATTGAAAAAGAAATAATTTCTCTTTAGTACCATATTGTTTCTACTGGCGTATTATTTTATTCGGTCTGCTAATGAGTGGGCTGCACACTTTTCCGGCCAAACGTAAGGGGGGTGTCATGAGTTAAAAAGGTGGGGTTTTTTTTTATAGTTTTTTTTTCAAAATATATTATTTTTCCTTTGTTGTCCTGGATTGCTTGAACTGGGATTTTAGTAGGATATGTCCAATGCACAGCTGAAAGATTATGACCTGTTTCTATCGTTTGTAAATATAGGTTGAATACAACAAAACTTTCACTCAGAGGGCGCAGAAAATCAGTCAAACTGCTGATAATATTTCATTATATGACAAATTTACATTAGTTTTATATTTTAAAAAAATAATTAATTTATGAAGTCATTAAAGGAATATAAAATATATTGCCATTCCATTTGAAAAAGATTTGTTCAAAATTCATCCTCAAATTTTATATTGAATAGTAAAATCAAGCTTCGTTCTTCTATCACTCTTTGTCACTCTAAAACCCCACACTGAGATAAGCCCTTCATCAGTCTGTCAGTCTGGTATTTTTGTTTGGCTAATTTATCTCTTTATTCACAGGTACGAAATTTCCGAGACTTGAATCTGAACGAGAAATCTATTGGTTACATGCCAGCCATGAAGGAGCACTCTATGCTCTTGGGGAGAGTCAATGCATACATACAGGCATTTGTCTGGAGCAGATCATTGAGTACGCTGTATGAGCTAAAAGAGTCATGTCGAGAATTTCACCCAAAGAGAAAAGATTTTGATCACTTGAAATTGGGTCCATTACAAAAATTGCCCACAGTGTAAGTTTGGGAATTGTCTATGTTCCAGTTACTTTTCCTTAGCATTTAATGTCATTGGCTTACTATAACCCCGTTTAATTAATTAATTCTCATTATCTTAATTATAATTATCACACTTAATTAATTAATTCTCATTATCATAATTATAATTATATCACAATTATAATTAATTATTCTATGTTTAGATTTATTAATTTTTTGTAACTTATCAGTTGTTTATTAAAGTGAAATAAATGTAGATTCACTATTATATATGATAATAAACAAAATTTTAGTGAGTAGATGTTATAGTAATAAATACATCACCTTAACAACAGTTTCCCCATTTTCATACATGTCATTACTCTGTACATTTGAAAATTATCAGCTTCTTGCTCTTTTGATTTGACATGGTCATTTGCCCTCTTGCCACCAACAGCTATGACACATTCAAATTCCCTTTTGATGAGTACATCCCAGAAATTACATCAGCAGATCTCATGGAACAGCTCAACAACTTCCTGTCAAGGTAAATCTTACGGTTTCTACATACAGGGGGTTTAACGAAGGTATCTCTACACATAGATGTACTGAAGGTACCTACAGATATGTGCCATTTTGAATTTTTTTTTTTTTTTTAAAAATCCTTTACTATCCACCCTCCACCCCACTTTTGATCAGCAGACTTCAGCACTCACATTTTCTCAACCCCACCCTCCACTCCCAGTGACAGTACTGACACATTTCTATAAACAAAACAATCATATGCAAACACAAACAAAAGAAATAGTTGTTATTAAGAGTATTTCATTATGTGAATTGAATTCAATAAATAGTTTTGTACAACCTTTATTTAGTATTAATTTTATTTATTAGCTGTAGTAACAAGCAGCCCGCAAAGAGTTAACTCCCAGTTAAGCCATTTGGGTTGACCACCCTGATTTAGACTATTTTTTTTTCCTTTTAAAACAACCTTTGAACATTGAATGACCAATGAATGACAACAAGAGGTTTGAAGCTTTGTTCATGACCTAATAAAACAATGAAACTTGCTGCTAAAATATGTCAATTTTGATTTCTTATTAAATACATATAAAAAAAATGAAAAAAATCTGTTTTTGATCCTTCAAGTTTGAGAACAGCTCATTTCTGGATGACAAATAAGCTAAAAATCATAAATAGCAGGGCCTTTTTGTCTAGTGGTCAAGCGGTTTTCTGACACTTATTTTTGGTAGAATTTAAACTTATGTTATATAATTTTTTTTTTTTTAAATTTAAAAAATGAGAGTTCTTTTTAGCACAAAAAAAAAGCACCGTGTTAAAGTGTACGATTTTGAATAAATTTTTTAAAACCGCATATTGCATATGTGTTCTAATATATTAATTGTTTATAGTGTTTAGCTATTAATTTATCTTATTGCACTCAGTTAATTACAAAACTTGTTTAATTGTGTAGCACCAATACCTGGACAAAGCAGGTCTCTATGGAAGACTTCATGAAATATCTCATGACTGTCTACAATGTCTCCAGTGCATACTCTCTTGGGATAAGACTTCGCAGTCTGCCTCTGGCTATTCAGGTGAAAGAAAAGTTCATTTCTGAATAATTGTTGATGAATTACTTGACTTGGCAACCTACTGGTATTATAGTGTAATCATCCCTCATTAAATTGTTCAAAAGATATCTTTAAAAATGTGTAATCTTAAGATGATGTTTCTTTCTTGTTCCTTAAGTGTTGTAGTTTTACAGTTCACACTTATAAAATTCATTTGAAAGTTGAACATTTGTTGTAATAATATCTCCATTTGATTTCAAAATTCTTGTTATAAGTTTTTGTTGTTGTTGTGCAAATGTACATGACATAATGGGAACACTATAAATAATTGTCATGACGTTGACCTGTTTCAGGTTGTCCATTCCTCTTAGCATTTATTTCATAACCTTTTGCTTGATACCTTGACAGCATTTTATTTGTTCATAGATGCTGAAAAAGTCTAAGCGAGATGCTGCAAACACCCGCAGAGATGTTATTGAAAATCTGAAGGAGATTCTTCAGCGAGATCTCCATGAGGCCTTCAAGAAATTCAGAGCCAGCATTTTACAGGTATTATTTCATGTATTTAGTTCATGATATGATACATGTATTATTTCATGTATTTAGTTCATGATATGAAATGCAATGGAACTCTGCTACAGCTTGGCTTACCATATAAGTCCTGGTTTCACCAGGATGGCCCGTGTTGAGCAACCCTGTCTAGGTTTCAATCACAATTTTTTTTCTACAACATTTAGTAGGCTACATACAGGGGAGGCTACAAAGGTTTAAGTTGAATGACCAGTTTCTCCCCATTTGTCTTCCCTGATCAGACCAGCAAGGATGGCCTTGAGCTGCGTTTGCACTACATGAACCTGACCCCCGAGGTGGCCCTCAGAGAGATCTTCACAAAGTTTGAAATCCTAGGGCACCTCTTTGTCAACTCGTCGTCGCCACACCAGCGTAAGGTGGAGAAACTCATGAAACACTTTGACCATTTTGTCAAGGTGAGCAACACACACACACACAAAAACATGGTCTACTCCAGCGGTTCTCAACCCATGGGTCAATGATCTTGGGGGGGGGGGTCGAACAACCCTTAGAGAGGGGTCACCTAAGACCATCGGAAAACACATATTTATCAAGTAGTAAAGAAAATAATTTTATAGTTGGGGGGCATCACAACATGAGGAACTGTGTTAAAGGGTCTGGGCATTAGGAAGGTTGAGAATCACTGGTCTACACCAAACACCACACCCCCCCCTCCATGAATAAATAATACTATATAGTTGCTGCTACAAAACAGCTAGTAATTTTTTGCTAGCAATTTGTTGTATTATTTGGCTTTCAAGCTTTTAAATAAAAATTGTTTTCAGAAGCTAAAATACATTTTAATATAATCTTATTTTGTAAAATTAGGATAAGAAAAAACAAAATGTTTTCAGAGGCTAAAATAAATTTTAATGCAATCTTACTTTGTAAACTAGGTTTAGAAAAATATTCGTATTCTAGAGTGCAATCAGTCTCTCTCTCTACTTAACATAGAGTGCAATCAGTCTCTCTGCTAAGCAAACCGTTGGTGTGATTTATTTCATCGGCGTGCTTATCACAAAGTACTCAAAGTCTTCTCCTTTCGCAGAGTGTTCTAGATGTCCCCATCCCCCGAATGCTGTTCCATCTGTCAGTTACAATGTCCAACCTGGAAGTTCAGCAGAGTGCCACAGAGTTTCTAGAGGAACAGACCAGACAGCAGCAGGCGCAGGAAGCTGCATCTCATGTGCAGCAGCAACAGGCAGAGAAAAAAGTGCCTCCTCCCAAAGGTAAATAAATTGTTAAAAATTGTCTTTCTCTATATTGGAGCTTTTCTCTAGCCAGATCTGTGCCTGTACAGCTTGCATGAGATGTACCCAAGAACTATCCTGTACAGCTTGCATGAGTTATATACACAAGAACTACCCTGTACAGCTTGCAGGAGATTTACAAAAACACTATCTCCAATTGAAGCCATTCAATGTTCTTTCTCCACTACCCTTTAATTAGAGACTTAGTCCACAAATGGACCATATCTTTATCAGTTTTTAAAAATTGCTCTGCACCAGATTATGTTAAAGATCAATTATATGTTTATAGCATTTATTTGGATACATTGTTAAAATGAAAGTATATATTGCAATTAAGCATATTCTTTCATGTAGAGCAGGGCATTTTACCTGTTATATATAGACACCTCACAGTAGTCTTTTGAATTGCTCAACCCTATTTGAAAGTCTGGTAAAGTAAATTACCCTTGAAAAAAAGTACATTTTAGTTCGAGAAAATAGAGACAAATTTTAAAAAATATATTTATTGATTCCCTAAACCAGAGGTCAGGAACCAGATGTGGCTCTATTGATGGCTGCATCTGGCTCGCAGACAAATGTTCGATTATAAAAAAAATGTTTGTTTAGACTCCTTTGATTAGCAACAGCATAACAATGTTATTAAAAAGAATTCAGAGACATAATTATTGCATTTTTAGTGTTGAAATTACACTAAATGCTCACATTTACTTGAATTTTTAGTTTTATACATAATGTATGGCTCTCACAGAATTACTTTTCAAAATATGTGGTGTCCATGGCTCTCTCAGACAAAAAGGTTCCCCACCCCTGCCCTAAACCATATCTTTGACAATCTCTACATCCCCCCAATTATTTTGTTTTGGGGTGGGGTTGTTTTTTCTCTCTTTCTTTATTATTTAGAGTTATTCATTACTTTGACCTACCATATTATTAATAAAAGGATATTTTAAATGCTACATTACATATCCATAGCTGTTGAATCACTGAAATCTGTTTACTTCAGGGAGTCTTACAGAGAAACTCCTCTTGTATGTGAACAAATGCCTTGAGCAAGGCACCCTGAAACTTTCACATCTCCAGAGGATTGAAACTAAGACCCTGGAGGACTTTGGATTTGCATCGTTCCAAGAACTTGGTTACGGAACCTTTCTTGACTTCATTCATTCTGAAGGAAAAATAAAAAAGGTACTTGGAAAATATGAGCTCCAGCTAGTTGGTAAAATGTAATTAGATATTAGCTCAAATGAGAGGTTGTTTAAGTGTGTCAGCTTATTTTCTCAGTCATCAGTAATTATTTGTAATTGTCCACATATTCTCATTTTTTTTTTTTTTTGCTTATAGATTTCAAGCTGCTAATATTATATAAGTGCCATGGAAGATTGTTCAAAAACTGTTCTTTACTTTAAATTTTAATACTGCTTTCAATATTTATTTATTTTTCATTAAAAAAAATTTTTTTTTGTCTAGGGTTTTATTTCTTTTATGTTTTTTGATGATTGAAGCAAGAACACATTCAGTAAAACAAAAGTCCTTTATTACTTGAAAAATAATTACTAACAAACACATCCAAGTGACGTAATCAAAAGTACACAAAAATGTCATAAACAAATAACCTAGCAACAAAGTTTCTAAGTTAAAATGATATGAAAATAGTTTTGAAAATCAATTTTGTATATAAGTTCTGTTCCCAAATGTTTTGATCAGGTTCTAGAAGAATGTGGAGGCACCATGCTGGGCTCAGGGGCAGGGGGTCATGAACATGAGTCAATGTTCAGACCCAGTCAAATGGAGATTCTGGAGTTTATATGTCAGACCAAGTCTGCTGGAATTACATTGGTATGTAGGAATAGGTTAGACTATTTCTGCTATTACATTGGTATGTAGTAAGAAATGTTTCAGAATAAGTCTGTTGGACTTTCACTGGTATGTAGTAAGTGACATGTCTGACTAAGTCTGCTACAATTATATTAGTATGTAATCTGATAATGAGAGTACAATAATTTTAAGAATGTTAGCCTTTTCAAGTGGAACAAGGAAAAACAATTTTTCTCTAAAAAGTATTAAAAAGAAAGAGAGAGAAAAGAAACTTTTAGAATATTTTTTTTTAGCCAAATGTTAATTCTCTAAAGAGTTATATTTAAATAATCTGGTAGCTCAAGGTTTCTTTATCATTTTTTGAAATGTATAAATGATTAGCAGTATTTAAATAAAAAGTTATTTGATACTGTGCATAAGTGTTGGACTCGTATCTATTGCTTTATGTGTCAGGATAGCATAGAGAGGCATTTTTAATCCTACTCAAAGTTGGCAGCTGTCTTCAGAAGCTTTGATATATTAAGTCCACAAAATGTAATAATAATGAATAATAATATATATAAAAGCTTAGTTTTTTTCCCGAACAGGTTCCTCAGGTTGAAAATAGTATCTGTGAGCAGTTCCATGTGAATGACCTCCGACATTTAGGCCACGGCAACATCACACGTTTGTGCAGCGTGGCTGAGAAACCAGGGAAACACTCATCTAAAGAGTACCATGCCTATTTCGAAGCTGCTCTGTGTGGAAAATCTTGGTTAGAGTCTTGGCATTTTACATATATGTACTAACATATCAGTTTTTCAAAATTGCTTTGTAAAGAATATGCCCGTTATTTGTAAAATGGATCTAGTTAAAAATCTGATGGAAAGACGGAATGAAAAGTTTTTCATTTATCATTTTTCATTTTTACCAGTAAACTTTAATTTTAAAAAAAGCATCTATCGGAACAAAACAAATTCCCTTTGAAAATTTAAACAAAAAATGGAAAACATGAACAAGTGTCCACCTACATCAAACATGGGATAATTAATATCTGCATGACAGTTAAAGCAATGTTTAGTTACTCTAAAAGGGTGCATCGTTTTTTAAGCACCAAAGTAGGATTGAGAGTTGTAGGACAACATTGTAGACTAATGAGTGTAAGGAGTAAAAAGCTTTTGAATTCTTTTTTTTTTCAGTCCAACAACGCGCAGCCATGGCCAGGTTGGTATCCATGGAAGTCTAACAAAGGAGACGGCCATGGCCTGCCTGACAGCCTGCCCCCTGTTGGAAGATCTGGCTGAGTGGAGTCATTGGTCACTTGTGTTTCAGCCCCAGCATGGTCGGCTCCGTGACTTCATTGAAAAATATGGCGGGCTGAAAACAATAACTTTAGAAGGTAATTACTTACTGATTGTTTTTGTTTTTTTTGTGTAAGATTAATGACCAAGCTCCAGTTTATTTAGGTGAATTTCCTAATGATCTTATGGCATTTTCCCCAACCTGAAACTTTAGTGCTGTTGTACTCACATTTTCACATTATTGATTCATTAAAGAATCAATCGTCAAAGAATATGAAAGAAAAATGAATTGGGGTGGGGGGGGGGGGGGTGTTGCTAATTAATGATTTATTACCTACATTTTCTTAAGTCCACCAAATGCCCTCTATATCTTAAAGCAACTAAGTCTTGTCTTACATTCCTAAGACTGCAGTATGCCTTATTATTGAATAATTTAGTTTCAGCAACCAAGATTGCTATTATTTATAATGCTTCATTTGACCGAGAGATACAGTAAACCTAATTTGAATCTAAGAAGTAAAAAAGAAAAAGAAGAAAATTTGAAAGGAAAAAGTTTAAAGTTTCAAAATCTAATGAGCATTGTTGTGAATCAGTTCGGGTGCAGTTCAGGTGGAACAAGTTTTATAGAAAAAAAAGCCATTTTAACATTTTTAAATCTGTTGTATCAAATTTATTAAAGCTGCATATGGGAAAGACCTTTGTTATTAAAATTTTAATAATCCTTTTTATGAGTATAAGTTTTTGTAATAATGAAATAATACTGGGTTAGAAATAATATTCTTTGAGAGTAGCATTTTTGAATGGCCGATACATTGTAGGTGGCCGCAAGACTGCAACATCAGATTTCAAAGCCTTGGAAGTGGAACCAGGAAAGTTCCTGAAGATATGCTCCAGCAGTACAAATGAACATTTTCGCAGGGCCCTTGAGGCAGGAGATCCGTCGGCTTCAGCTGGACATCTGGTGTCAATAATTGTTGCCAACAAAGGGTTAGAGAGTACACCCTTGGCCCTGCTGTCCAATCACGTCAAGTCTAAACTTATTTCTTTGCATGCACTGAGCTCTGCTCACTCCACTCCAGGTAAGTGAGTCAATTTATTATTTTGCATCTTGCTCTGATTCATGTGTAACCCCAGGGTAATTTGATCATTTGACTTTTTTTAAAAAAGGTGTTTTGACATGGGTGTCTATCTAGACTTTTTAGTGCCAGGCAGGATGTTACCATGATGTATCAATTTCTTCAGAATCTGATTCTTCAGGGTTTGATTTTTTTCCTCAATCTTCGGGGAAAAGAAATTGGAAACAAGATTTTTTATTTAGAATCTGAGATTTAAAATAAACTTCTCAACTTATTTAATTTATTAAATAATACAACTGTAATATGTCATATTTGGTATTAACTTAGACTTTTATTTGCTACAGCTTTAAAATTTTGTTTGGTTTAAATCTGTTTATGAATGAACCATAACAAGATTTTTTTTTAAAGATTTATTATTGAAATCCAAATATATACACCTAAATTTCAGCACTTTTTTTGCAAGTTAAATTTTAATATGATATTGAATTTTTTAAAATTTAATCTGAAGAGACACATTTGACAACTTGATGCTTTTTATTGTCAGGGTAGTGACATTAGTCTGAAATTTACTTTTCAGGGGGCCCACCATTAGTAGACACCTTGGACCTAGCAGTACAGTTTGTTACTGACTTTTTACTGAGATTGCCCCTCAGAATTTGTGCAGCTATTGCTAATCAGGTGAGCCAGATTGTAATTTTTCCAAAAATCACTTCTCAAAATTAAATATATAGAGTTAATTTACCATGCAAAGAATTACATTTGTATTTTATTTACAGCGTGCATTCAGCGTGTCCCTGATCTTTGGGGGAAAAAAAACACAAAAACTCCATTGAAACAAAAGCCAAGAGTCTGTTCATAGTTACAACTCACACTCAAGAACGCAAAAGTTATTCTAACCGCACAATTAGTCAACGAAAGTCTTGCTACAGACTAATTTTAAGGAACAACAAAAAACTCAGGGTTTTCAAGAATGAACAAAAATGTGTGTCCATGGTGGCATAACTGTCAACTATCACAATCTGTGACACTGGCGTTCTTCACTGCAACGGTGTGCATTGTTCTCAACATTTGTAAATAACCATCACCTGAAGGTGTAAAGGAAGAAGATTTTGAACAAATCTTTTTTACTGGGGCTATTTGGGGAAAAACGATCATTGCAGAGGCTGTTAATGGTGACGTGTTAAGATTCATCTCCATATTCCTGAATGGATTTCAAAGGGTTTTTTCATATTTCTGTCTTACATTTGTAACAAGATGTTTCTCAACTTGTACATGTCCCATATGATATAAGTTGAGAGATCTTCAGCATCTATATACTCATAACAAACAACAGCACCGAAGTCGCAAGTTGAAAGAGCCTTCAGAAGTCACAATCAATCAACAATGAGTATGATAAAATAATTATTCAACAAAAGTCTAGCTATAGACCATTTTAAAGAACAGCAAACAACTCAAACAAGGATTTTCAAGATTGAAAAAAATATGTGCAATGATTTATTTGGATCAATAAAAGTATCTTATCTTGATAAATCCCTGTTCCCTGATGCAATTAAATTTGTAATAAATAATTATATTTTTAGGTTCTCTTGGAACCACTAAGTCAAGTTGTTGGCTCTGCCAAGTCCAAGAACATCATCATTCAAGCCTGCAGAACTCCCTGGCAACAGCGTCGGCTTGAACTGCTGGGCTGCCTGCTTGGCTTGACAGAATGGACAACGTCACTGCAAAAAAGATTTGAGTTTCCTCTACATTGTGTTGTAGAGAACAAACCAGATGAGCTGCTGGGACAGCCTGAAGACACAGCAGAGGATGAAGAGGCAAGAGTTGATTTGTTCTGATAGATTTGCTTTAGTCTGCCAACAGTGGTTTAGGAGGATGGGGGCCTGCGGGGTTGGTCCACCCCACTTGGCAGATTTTTTCTTTATAATGAGGGATGGCCAGTTTTGAACCCATGACATGATCTCATTAGCGGGCATATGGTAAGCATATTGTGTATAAAATAATTAATAATAATAATACAAATCTTGGCCTGTCCTGGTTGGTACTAACCCAAGCTACTGTGGCCACTGTCAACCAAAGTGTAATTTAAAAAGCATAGTCTAAATTTTTTCTAATCTCTCATTTGTTCCATTCTTAACGTGGAACACATAGATTATAATAAATTTAAAGTATGATTTTTTTCCCCAACTTTTGCTTTTAAAAAGTTGGAGGAAGAAGAATCGAATGGTGAAGAATCAGATTCAGATGAGATTGATGATATCCTGTCTGGAGATGAAGAGAGCCCAGATAAAGCCCCTCAAGTGGACACAGGAAATGAGGCTGACAGTGTGGAATGTAAGAATAAACAGGGGCTAAACAAGGATGAACTTGTTGACCTCAAAGAATCCCAAGACTGCACCAACATTTTGGAACAAGACATCAGCAAACATTTGGATGACGGCAAGTTAACATTTTCTAAATATTTGAAGTGTAACTTTTATTAATTGTTTTTGTAAGTTCCAAGTAATAGAAATAAAGAAAAAAATGTTTTACTTCTTTAAAAACTTAAATTCCTTCTTATAATATTCCTTTACAGTGGATAAGAAAAAGGAGGCAAGGGAAAGTGAAGAGCTGATATCAAATGGTGGTTTGAAAGAATCTGAGGTCAATAAGTCAGAGCAAGCCATGGAACTTGAGATAAGTGCACAGGAAGATGTGAAAAATTATCCTGAACAAGCTGAAAGGTCTACAGATACCAAAGATACTGAACATGAAGAAGTGTCTACAGAAAAAAAAGATCCTGAACAAGATGAAGTGTCTACAGATGCTAATGAAACTGAACATGAAGAAGGGTATAAAAATACTGATGAGGAGACCACAATGGAAACGGTGGATGAAACTGAATGTACAAAGGAACTGACCAAGGAGGAAAAGTGTCGACTGATTGTTGAGGACATCAGAAGAGAGGAATTTGGTGTAGGCATTCATCTTGATGAGACTGGGCGCAAACTTATGCTTGTGAGGGACATTTCTTTGCCGTTAATGTATTAACAAATTTTTATATTACTCATATTTATCATGTAAGCTGATTTTAGATGTATCAAGTACAAGATTAGACTAATATGTGGAATTCATGTTAAAGCATTCAGATTTTTATGTTTAGATTCACTAAAGATTCAATGAAGGTCCTAAATTTACTGGAGAATCTATGATGTAGTTAGTCTTACATTTTCTACACTTCTTTATCCAAATCACATATTATTATTTCGTTATGCAATGAGATATTAAATTTAACTTATGGGATCAATTCCAGAAACAACAAGAGCGCCAAGGTCGCAGCCTTCAAAGGTTATCTAAAGACTTGTACAGCAAGGAGACACATTTTGTGCTGGAACTTATACAAAATGCTGATGACAACAGCTATGCAGAGGACATCTTGCCATCGGTCAAGTTTGTTATTGATCATACAGGTGAGGACTTCAATATTCCAAAAAGTGTTTTCAATTTCAAACATCACTACATTCCTGCCAAAGACAATCTGGGATTGGAACAAGTTTCCAAAAGGAACAGTTGAGACGAAAACACTTGACACATTTGCGTCTTTAGCCTCAGGCCTTCTAACCCCCAGTTCCTGATACTCTCGCTGAGTAGCCCTTGCACTCAGTGGAATATCCTCTTCAATACCAGGCACAGAAACATCGTGAATCCCCTTAAGATATAGAAGAAGAACAATGTTTAATAGATTTTGGATTTTTATTCTCTAACACTACAAACTTGTTTCATCATTATTTAATGGGAAAATTTGTTAAAATGTCTAAACTTATGAGTACGCCTTTTTTTTTAAAAACTTGAAAGATAGAGATGATTAAGTAAAGCAAATAAGCAGAGCGATAGGCCGTAAACAAGACCAGGCAGAGCAATCAGTTGGTTGAGACTTTGCTTTAGGACCAGTAGTTGTATCATAAACTCAAACCTTGATTAATATAATGTATTCTAAGTCAAGAATAAATTGACACCAGAAGGAACTATATATCTAAAAATATCTCTCTATATTCCTACAGGTGTCACAGTTCTAAACAATGAGTTAGGATTTGAAGAAAAAAATATCAGAGCCATTTGTGATGTTGGCAAGAGTACAAAATCCAAGCATAATTATGGCTATATTGGTAAGGTAATTTAAAAAATTGTTTAAACTGTAGTGAAATCACAGGGCCTCGTTATTTTTTTATGGAAATCAAGCTGGTTCCCATTCAATCACCCAATGTGATTGAATGGGAACAAGCTTGCATTTAAAATAACATTCGTCACACAACAGTTGTGTAACGAATGTTATTTTAAATAGTTTTCAGTGTTTTCTTGCAGATTCCTCTTATGTCAACCTAGACATAAGTTTAAAAAAAATTAAAATGATTTAAGGACATTCAAAGCCTGCTCACCTGTCCTTTGTTTTCTAACCCCCAAAAAATTCTATGTGTTAAATTTAACTATTTACAACATCAGGTCAGAAGGGCATTGGTTTCAAGTCAGTATTTCGAGTCACAGGGTGCCCAGAGGTGCATTCAAATGGATTTCACATTTACTTTGATGTCAACAGTGGACCCATGGGATACATCCTTCCTCACTGGTCAGAAGAAACTGAACATGATGACAGGTAAAATCCTGGTTGTTTTTATATTATTAAAATTAATTATTTAAAAATATTGTTTTTTAACATTTTTGCTCTCTTAAATTTGTTTTCTTGTAGAAAAATAAATGCATCATTAATAGCATTTCCATTTAGTTTTATTTATCAAAATTCAAGTTTTGTTTCTTTTTCAAACTCTCGTCTGTTTTGATAATTTTCTAGTTTCTGCTTTAAAGATTTGTAATATTTGTATAGTATACTAAGGATACTGCTATGTATTTAATACATGACATTAACCACAGGGCTTAAAGTGCACTGCAGTAGATGTCCCCCAACAAAAATTTTCCTTCTTTTGGCCTATATTTATTTTTTGTTTTGAAAAGTTGTAAAGGTAATTCTGTTGTAAATTAATGGAGATTTTGAGACAACGCTTGATGGGTAGATTAGCAGGTTCCATACTCAACTTTCTTTTACTATAACCTCAGTTGGCAAACAAAAATTGCATTACCCTGGACTGAAGACATCAAACAACAAGTTCAAACCCATGCAGCTCGCTTCAATGACATCCAGCCTTCACTTTTGTTATTTTTACATAGGCTGAAGGAGATTTCTATTGATAACAAGGTGAGCAAGCATAACAAAGTTGCATTTACTTTAAACTAAAAATTTTGTTGCAACACAATTTTTAAAATGCTCTTCCTTTTCATTTGATAGCTAGAGTTAGTTGCAGTATTTTGAACGAATAAAATGTTTTTTCATTGTGTAGATTTGGGTAGAAAAGTTAAACATATACTTTTAATGACTAACAATGGTTGAGAATAATTTGATATTTGTTCTACTGCAAGATTATCATTCTTTCAAACATTATTGTTGTGACAGTTTAAGATGAAAAATTATAACTTTCAGGTTGAGGGTGCTGAAATCTTTATGAAAAGGCAAGACTTTCCTAATGGAGAAATTCAGATAACACACAGTCATGGCACAGACAGGTGGTTGGTGCTGAGAAAAATTCTAGATGCATCTAATGTGTCTCTTCAGGTGAATTAAATTTTACTTATTTCCTTTTGGTAAATATTCTGTTAAAATATTAATTTATATTTTTTTGCATCATAGTTGGTGTCTAAAAAGTAATAAGTTTGAAAGGTTTATTTAGTTGTGCCATATATCTTATTATCGAACAATTTTCCGTCCACTATGTTTTAATGTCTAAATAATTACAAATGTGCTTTCAGGCAAAATCAGGAGTTGAAGTGGAATCCACAGAGATAGCACTGGCTTTCCCCTTGAAGGATAAAATGTTCACTATCCATTCCCAAGTTGGTACACTTTCTATGCTGATGATATTTATCCTATCATAAAGCCTTGCCATATTTTTAAATTTATTTTAGCAGTAGAAAAAAAGTTGTGTCTAATAATATTAAATAAATAAAGAAAGGGAAATATTTTAAAAACTGTGGATTTGTTTTTTCATGATAACTGATCATGTATGACAGATTAAACTGGGATTAGATCATTGCAGGTCATGTTAATTATATTGAATAAACAATTAAAATAATTGTAATGAACTGTGTCTCTCTTGAATAGGTCAAACCAGAAAAACTACCTGTATTTGCATTTTTACCTTTAAGGTCTTATGGGTTCAGATTTATAGTGCAAGGTTAGTGACATCTTCCTGTTCAATTCATTTAGATAAAAAAAAAAAAAGAAATAAAGAACTCTTATATCAAAATAACATCATTGAGTACAATTTTTTACTGATTTTGGCTGTGTGAAGTACCTGTAATTGGCCTCAGTGAAATCTTTAATGCTAATTTATGCCCTTAAGTATCTTAATGAATTTATTTATTTCTACTTGTTTTAATTATTTAATAAGTTGGGGAAGGTATAAAAGTGCATGATTCATATGTTAAAAATGATTGTATCAGCATGTTTAAAAGGATTGTATCTGGTGACTTTGATCACATAATTCTCATTTTTTGTATCAGTATATTGTTAAAATGATTCTTTCAGGTGACTTTGATGTGCCATCAAGCAGAGAAGATGTAGATAGAGACAGTTCTTGGAATCAGTGGTTGAGAAATGAAATACATGTCTTGTTCATTGAGGCTTTGGAGGCGTTTAAGGTACATATAGGATAATATTTCTCTATTATACAGTAAAGAATTGTATTTATCTTTATATTAAACTATTTTTTCATGCTTTTTTTTGTTGTTTTTGTTTTTGTTTTTTTGTTTAAAAATTTGCTGAATTATAAACTTTTTATAAAAATATAATATTTCAGTGTTAAAAAATATGATTTCTGAAATATAAACACTGAAATATTTTATTATAGCCCAAAAAATGCAGCCCTCAAATGTGTTTTTTAAAAACAAATTTTTTGTATTTTATTATTTAAAATGTGCATAATTTATTTAGCTCTCCATTCACACTTGATCACCAGGAGCATTCTCTATTGGATCCTGATTATCCTTAATTTTAATTGTGAGGTGCATTAGGAAGGAATGTATATAACCTGGAACAGTGTTTTGATGTAACTTCTACTATTTATATATAAACCACTCATACTTCTATATTTAGTAAAATGAAACCACAAAATTTCAATTTTGACTTTTGTGACTGTATAGGCCAGAGAGGACCTGACACCCATTGAAGCGCTAATCCTATACCTACAATTCATTCCCCTGGAAGGGGAGGTCATGGGTTTTTTCAAACCAGTTGCCTCCCATATATTGGCCCAACTCAAGGCTAAAGAGTGTATTCCAGTGCTTACCAGTGACAAAAATAGTGAGTGTTTAAAAGAATATTTCATTGTCTAGGAGACAAAATGAATTGTTGTTTCATGGGTCATTACGGCCTGCTATCAGTAAGTGGAATTTATTTTTCTTCATTTTTAAAAGGGTATAGTATGAGTTTTTTCTGTTTAAAAAATAATTGAATGTAAAAAAAAATTAAAACCTATGAAAAGGTCATACTTTACAATTCTTATGGAGATCATAAGTGACCTATGGTATTACTTGTCTTTATTCCAGGTATACAGTGGAAAATGCCATCTAAAACTGTTGTTACCCATGATTCCCTTGTGCTTGAGATAGTGTCTCCGGAACTGTTGCAGCGTCACCTCGACCTGCACTACCTTCACCCAGATGTGGCAGCTGTGTTAAATGAACCACTGACACAAGCACTTGGCATAGAGTCTGTGACTACTGAGCACCTTCTCCACATTGGTAGATCCATTGGTCAAAACTGGAGCAATGACAGTGCAGGTAATAATTAATTTCAAAGATGATGAAGTGGGGAAAATGGGGAATGTTTCTGCAGTACTTTTTAATCCCTTGAAATGTTCCCACACCCCAGGACACACTACAGTACTTTCAAAAATTTGTAAAACATAAAAATTGTGGAAATATATACAATGACCTAATTTTCTACTAACTATGAAAATGAATACTAGCTTAGAAATCTATTTTATCAACAAAGACGCCCCTCACTTACCAACAGAGTTTGGTTCCTGCCACTAGGTCAAAAGGGGATTCCCCATAAGTAAAGAGATTTAATTTAGTTTATATATATTCTGAATAAAGAAATGGTCTAATCTGAAATTCCAACTATTGACATTTTTTCAATGTGCATCTCTTGCATATGACACAAGATGTAATAATTGAAATTAAAAAAACAACTGAGTCAGTTATATAAAAATAATGTACCAAATAAGTGTAAGTTCATTCATAAAAAAACATAGTAAAATGAGGATTTCCAGTACTGGAGAGCGGGTCAGTTTACACAGGTAGCTTGTAAAAGAGGCCTGTAAAGTATAAATCTGAAACATTTTTTCCACATTTATTCAATCTTAAATTTTTTTTTCTCCATTAAATTGATCTCTCATTATGTTTGCATTTTTGATTAGATCATGTGACTCAGATAGCCAAATGGCTGGCATGTGTTTACCGCAGTTTGGATGACTTTCAGGAAAACACTCACATTTTGGAGGCGCTCAATAAAATGAGGTATTTTGTCGTAAAAGTTCTGAGCTATGCAGATTTAACTTTGATGTAACTTACAGAAGAACCTAGTTCACAATATGTGAAATACTGGTCAAACAAAAAAGAAATGTAGAATTGACTTGATGACAAAACTTGACTTAGAAATGAAACACTATCACATTTTTTTTTTATGACAATATATTTTTCAATTTACTTGGAAATGAAATGTCATCACTAATTTTGTTAATTATATATTATTTTATTTAAATATAAATATATTATTTTTAAAATTAAGTTCCAATTTTCTGTTGAAACAGATTGTGCCATCAGGTCATCACTCTTGTACTTATTTTAAAATAGAAATTAGCTCCCCAAGTACTTTCAAAAGTCATTCACATGGCACTTTATGTCCCACAGCCAGACCAATGTCATGAATATGCATCAACAAAACTCTAATTTGAAACACAGAAAAGCCTAAGAAACAAATCAAATGAAAAAGTTTGACTAGAAAATTTGTTGTGATGTATCGTTTCTAATCAGTAGTAAAGCATTAAGTGGCAATGATAAAAAACAAAAAACTAGGTTGTTTGAACATATCCTTTAAAAAAAAAAACGTAAGTAATGAAAGATATTCAAGATTTTTTTTTTAAACTTTTCATTTTGATGTGTCTCACTCTAATCAACAAAATTCGTTCCCTCAGAATCATTCCCTTGTCATCTGGAAACCTTGTGTCCCTCTCGGATGTTACAGTGTTTTTGTTAACAGATGGCCATGGGAAGTCTGTCGCTGAGAAACAAAAAAAGCAAGGAAACATGAAAGGTATATTACTCAAAGTGATCTTACCTTGACACTTGATTGAAGGCCTGGACAGCCTATTCATTCTTTTGTCATACATTCAGTTGAATAATTCATGGGAAAACTTAAACTCTTAATGCCTTCTAATATCAATTTGAGGGAGTATTGTACTTTGTCAGGTTCACCAAAACACTTCTTAGAACATTACAAAAGGTTCAAAACTCAGCTGCTAGACTAGTTCTAAAGGCAAAAAAACGTGATCATGGCACACCACTACTTTATTCACGTCATTGGCTCCCTGTACAAGCATGGATTGACTACAAACTCTCTGTTCTCTGCCACTACTTTTTCTCGCATTCCTGCCCTTCCTATCTTACCGAACTTCTTTCTGTCTATTCACCCCTTCGACAGCTTCGCTCCTCCGCAGACCCGCCCACTCTTTCTGTCCTCAAGACTCGCATAACAACGTACGGTGAATGATCTTTCTTTTTCTGTGCCCCTAAACAATGGAATTCTCTTCCATTACACATCCGCAATAGCATCACAGCCTTCAAAACTGCACTCAAAACACATCTTTTTAAACTCTGCTATCCTGACTGATTCCTCCCTCTGACCGAAAAACGATACTCCTGGGTGTTATCCATGGCTTAACATGTAAATAGTTTTAAATATACATTTGTTTTGTTTTATTTAATTAATGTATGTTAATTAATTTTTTAAGTTCATGATTATGTTTGTTAAATTGTATGTACAGCGTGGTGAGCCCAGCCCTAGGCTGGGTTACCACACCATATAAAACCACTTATAATAATAATAATAATAATAATAATAATAAAAGATGGAAGTTTAGTTAAAAGGAAATTCTTAATCTGTTTACTGTTTATCTTTGTGATGTATTTACATTGTAAATTTCACTTACTAAGCAGTTATATCTCAGAGACATCATACGCTTTCAATTGCAACAAATCATACACTTTAAATTGCAACAAATCATGTGCTTTGTATTGCAAAAAATCAAAATAATTTATACATTTTAAAAGGAAAAAAAAACAATCACATTCTTCTCTTGTACAGATCCACTGCTGGAGTTGAAGAAAGACTTAAACCTGGTCCACTCTGATCTGACCAATACAAGTGACGATGAAGTCAACTCTCAAGTGATTAAACTACTTATCAAAATGGGGATCAAACAGCTCACAGCCCATGACCTCATCCACAGCCATATAATGCCAGTCCTCAAATCGGATCTCTGGAAGGTGAAGTCATTAATAAATGAGACACTTCAATTGTAGCATGTAATAGCAAAGCAATTTTTAAAAAGGAAAAAAAACAATACTTTTAACACTTGAAATTGTAAATGATGTAAGCATCATTGTGCTGTAATGTTGCATGCATTAATTATTATTTTACATCAACTGAAATCAACATTTAAGTTTAAAGCAGGGTGCCCAACAAAAGGCTTCGCTTGGCATTTTGATCATGAGAAAACTCTACTCGCATCGCATGTCAGGAAAGTTGTTCAGTTGTGAGACTTGCCATGGTATCAAGTCACTTTCATAAAATGCTGTGTATTTTTAATAAATAAAATATAACCAAAATACGCTGAATATATTTATTTATTTATTCTTAATGCAGATCATTCTAAAAATTAGATCTGCACGTACCGCAAATAGATAAATAGTATACATTTAATTAAGAGATAACTGTCTTAAAAATATAATTTTTATAATATATTAATTTCAAAAGTGTTTTTATAAAAAGAATTTTGTATGCATCTGGCATATGACTGGCTGCAAAATTTATCTTGCCTGGCCACATGTGACCTGCAGGCCCTGGGATTGCCGCACCTGGTCTAAAACATTAGTTTTTTTTGTACCCTTATCTTTTAAAAGAATTTATTGAATTTCTAAATTGATCTTTATCTTACGGCAGGATAAACACAGAAATATCCTGGTGAGTTATTTAGTCTACATAAAGATGGAGATGGAGAGGAATTCATCCCTAGTGGACATGGCAGAACTTTGTTCGGTTGTGAGACTTGCCACAAACCATGGTATAAAGTCACCTTCAGAAGAAGCTGTGCATTTTTCAACAGCTTATGGAAACAGAATAGATTTGAACACTACTTTTCCAGGTAATTAAGGATGGATTGATTGAAATAGACTTGTGCCCATATCCTTATTGTAGTAATGCAATGTCGTTTGTTATAAGTGGTGAGATGTCTGTAATTATGAAGGATGTTATAAAATGTTTTCTGATAAATTTTTTCCCTGAGATTGTGTAGGGTGGATGAAAAGCATTTTGGGTCATGGGATATGCCTGGATTTGAGATCCGGGTGGTCAAAAGAAATTGTATGGTTAATGAGATGTTGCGTGTTCTGTCGGGAATTCACCGAGACGCAACTTACACATTATAAGTCAGAAGAAGATTGACCACTGTGTGGCCATGCTTGCTTGGGGATGTATGGCACTGCTACTGAATGCCCATTCAGACATGTGTCTACACTTACAAAAGGGATGTGGCCCTGGATGTCTATTTTCCGAGACTGCTCTCAAAGCTTTCTTATGTTGCCAAATTGACACCCCTTGCTAGTAATACAGTATGTATCCACCTTTTTCACAGTTACTCCTTATCGTTCCCACAACTAGGTCATTAAGAGAAATGGTTTTTAAGAGAATCGGTCATTAAGAAAGAGCCTTAATTGTTTGTTCACGTTGAATCAAGAACAGGTTAAAAAATAATTGAGTTTATGATTTTAAAAAAAGGAATTTTTTGAATGGGCAAGAATATGATGATTCCCAATTCTGAACACTGAAATTACAAAAATAATGGTCATTTGACAAGTATGTCATTAAGTAAGGAGAACCTGTAGTTTCTGTTAAAATTCTTAAAGGGTGCGTAAATTTGACAAACTCCATCATTTCTGAAATCATTTTTTATTCATTCGACTGATTCAGTCACAAGGTATATCAATGATTTCATAAAAGAGGCAATCTTATTATTTCAGTTTTTAAGCCTGGTGACAACAGAAGTACTTATGCATTTTGTTTCTTTAATATTTCCAGGCATGAGCTGGACTTTAGTTGACTCTGCCTACCTCCCCATCCCTGCCACCCAGCATGATGTACAGTCATGGCACACTTTCCTTAGCTCCTTGGGCGTGACCGATTTTCTGAGTGTCCAAAAAGTGGAGCGTACTTTTGACAAGAGTAACATTGTATGATAAATTAAATTAATAGGCTTTGTCTTAATATTTAATCAGTGTAGATAGGGGACAGTCAGTAGCGTTTAGTCTTTGAAATGTGAATCGAAGAGATTATCATAAGAATTATAAGAAATGATTTTACTTTAAACTACATAAACTTGTTGTTACAAGAAAAATATTGAATGTTTTTCCAGTAAATATATAAATAAATTCATAGAAAAAAGAATCCTTTTTCTTATCCAAGTTACTTATAAAATTATTCATAAAGTAACAGACTATTTGTTCCAAAAGCTATTTTTCCCCATAATTCTTTAATTTTTTTAAAAAGAAGTGAAAATAAATTGATTTTTTTTCCGAACAATCAGCATCAGACACCATGGTCTGCATTTAAAGAAATCTGGCCCGACTCTCCCGATGGATATGCTGTGACAGACTTTCAGTGTGATGAGTTCCACAAACTAGTGACAGCAAATCAGAAACCAGATGGTCTTTACCAGCAGATGGTGCAGTTGTTTGAAAGATTGGCAGCCGAGTGGGATGGCTTTTACAAGAGATATGAGAGTACACAGTTAAAATCTGGGTCAGGTCATGTGCTCAAGGATAGCATACAGGTAAGCACTGAACCCATGCTTATACTTTCTGGTAAACAAATGGGGTATAGAGCAATCTCCTTGATTAATGGATTTACATCTTAACATTTATAAAATTTATTTATCAATACCTGAATATGTGTGAGTACTTTGACTAAATTAATTATAACTTTACCTTGTAACAATTGTCACATAATTTAATGATCCCATATTGCATTTAGACATTTGAATTTAAACACCTTTTAATTTCACTGACATCAAAGCTTCGTGCTGTATTTTCATTATGAGCCAACTTATGATTGATTTATTTTGCTATTATAACTTGCTTTGAAGCTGTAGTTGAATCAACTATTTTGATTTTAACATATCAGACCCTCATTTTATATAGTTAGGGAAATACGACATAAAATTAAAACCAATGAAATTCATTTAACTTTAAAACATTTAAACAGAAAATGTATTGACAGGAAAAACTATTCTCAGTGAGACAAAACGTTATATGATTGAATAAATTGATTTACTTTACATGGGAAATAAAAGTCTTTAACGTGAGAGAACTTGATAGATGATAAAAATGTTGTTCATTAACAAAATGGTTACCTATGAATTTAAGAAATGAGTTAGAAGTGAATTTTATTTTTTTAAAATAATGTTGCTCCTTTCTTTATCAGACTTCATTTGCTATCAATCTGAAATCACTCATCTGGGTGCCCACATATGCACTGTCAGTTGACGTCTTTGATGAGGGCAAAAGGGTGGAGGCCCAAGATTCTCATACACTGCAAAGTCCTGCAGAGCTGTATGTCAAGGATGACCAAATTAAGCGCCTCCTGGCCTATACTGTCAAATATCTGGATGTACCGATGGTGAAGTCCAGCGCTTTTGTTTCATTTCTTCAGGTAAGAGAGTATCTGTTACTACAGATAATACTAATATGAATTCAGTTAATACTATCTAAAAAATGTGTTCCGTTAATACCAATTTGTATCTCTTTTAACCCTTTCAATCTTTTAAAAAAATAATGAAAAAATTTGTTTAAAAGTAAAAACAATTTACATCATTCTCTTTCAACAGATTAAATCTAAAGTGACCTTGGAGAAAGTTAAAAGTGCCCTCATCTCCTGGTGTGAGAGAGATAAGGATTTGCCAGATGTGCCCAAAATATTTTGCACCACCAGTTGGCATGTGTTTGAGGTACAGTTAACTGTTCACTGTGGATGTTTGACTTCGCTCAGTGAATATATTATAAGCTTATTATTACCATCATCTAATTAGAGTATTGCTTTAGTTCATTGGTTCAGTTTGTCTCTGATTATAATGTAGTAAATGAATTTAATGACATGTTGTTTAATTAATTATTTTAAAAAATAATGTTGGTTTTGCAAGTAATTTGTAATATTTTTAAATAATTGATTTTTATGCAAAAATAATTTTCTATTTATTACGTATACATAGTTTTGATTTGTAAAACATGTTAAATTTATTTCGACTTTCCCCTCAGCTTTACGGCTACCTCAGTGAGGAACTGAGCAACAAAGATGCCCAAGATCTGTTCCACAATCATCCTGTCATATTTGTTCCTGTGTCCGACCAGAAGTCCAAGTTTGCTGCTGGCAAGATGATGAAGAGAGAAGAAGTCTGGTGGTCTGACCCGACAGGACTGTTCACTAGATACCAGGAGTCTCTGGAGCTCTATAAATCTCCTTTGAGCAAATTTAAAATTGTGAGTTAATGTAACCTAAGTAAGAAAATTGGCTGGGGGGAGAGGATATTCTGTGGCTAATATTGAAAAAATATGTATATTTAAATATTTTTTAGAGGCTAATAAAATTTATGACTGCAAGTGCATCATAAAAAGGGATATAGTTTAAAAATTAAATGCCCTGCAAAAATATTTTTGAACCACAAAGGTTGCAGCTGTAAAAAAAATAAAATGAGCAAGTATATACAATTTTTAACTTACAACTTATTTTTTTTTAATGTACATGTTGGAGAACTGTATTAAAGCTGTTAATAATTAATGAAAAGAAAACAAATTTTGTTTCACACAGCTACAAGGACTTTACCAACATTTGGAAGAGATGTTTTTCCGTACTGTAAGAGTTGAACATGAACCAAACACACTGCAGCTAGCTGAACTGCTGAAGCACATAGCGACTGTTAAAAGTCTCTCTGAGGATGAAGTTCTTGCAGACACACTATTTTTGTTTTCAAAAATAGGATCAGACCTGAGCATGGCATCCTCAAAAACAGCAGGTAATGAAGTTTAAGTCTTAAAACTAAGTTCAGTGTTTTCCAACAGTTGTTTTTTTATGACATATTATCAGTTATACAATTTGTATGTTAAGACATATTTATCAATCTAAAATGTATACATCCATCTTAATAAATCATGGAAAATGTAAGTTCTGACTTGTTTATTTCTCATACAATTTTAAATGTTTTTTTACTCCCTTAGTATATTCTTTTATAAAGTATAAAATCCCTTAGTATAAATCCAACTAGTTTAAAATAAAAGACCATCTTTGTCCTGTTAACTTGGTTGTAGAGATTTATTAGTCTGTGGCTTTCTTGTTTACTCCTGATTGAGATTTTCTCACTAACAAGTAGATGCGACCATCGACTATCACCCAGTGGGGTTGTAATGTGGGGATTAAGGAAAGTCATGAAAGTAATATCAACTAGTCAAATGGTTGATTAAATAATTTAGTAACAATTAATGTCAAACTTTCTTCCAGCAATAAATTATGGTTTTTAATTTTTACAATACTACTACTTCCTGTGTGTTCGAATTGTTAGCTGCAAGTGTGATACAGAAATTATTTTGTATCTGAGTGCAGCTGAGTTTAACTTATAACTCTCCCTACAGAGGTGCAGACCCTTGGTGCCATGAAAGCAGGAATGTATTTGCCCAAGGTGGTAGAGCTACTGACCAAGGCCGCAGTCTTCCCAACTAAACTAGATCAGTGGGTCAGCCTGACAGACTTACCGATGATTGCTGACTCTGCTGAGCTCGAGGAAATGTTCATCAAGAAACCTGGTGTACACTTTCTACAGCTTGAGGTCAAAGGGACCGGACAGGCATGGGATAGAAACGCAAGGACTTCTGGTGTGAATTTTATTTTTGTATTTCTCTTTCTGCTTTAAGATTTCATGTCCATAAGGAAAAAAATTAAATCAAAGGTTTACTTTCCAAGTGGAAAATTGTACCTATGCTCTACTGACATTATGTTAAGTTAGTGAATAACTCAGATTTTGTAAATGACTTATTAAATGGGGAAAGTTTAAACAAGTTACAAAGTTTCTGTCATTCATAACACTAAGGGGGTATATCAGATCTGTTTACTCTTATGATTTTGGCAATTTAAGATTTTGAGATGTATACATTATATATACTTTATGTTTATTTTTTTACCAGTAAGATAATGTATTGAAAGATTTTGTCATGATATTGTACGATTTTAAGAGTTGGAGGGTAAACAGGTCTGGTACAATATTACCTTGCAACGGTAACCGCCTGGTAACTATTTAGTGTAAATACCATTATATATTGTGTAACTGAACAAAACTTATTGATTTTTCAACTAGAACTGTAAAGAAAAGGCATTTCTATTCTTCGATCACACCACTCTATAAATAAAATCATCAAATTGTATATTTTTTTTAAATTATAAATACGACTGCTTTGAAAATCTGTTTATTTTATGGGATGCGTTGTCTCCCCTTTTTTAATTGTGTAATTTTATCAAAATATGTTCACTCTTCCAGCAGCCAAAAATGTTGTAGACAAAGGCTCCCTAGAGTTCTTCCTGAGTTTGTTCAAGGAGATCAAGCCGCTGACTGACTGCGTGAAGCTTGAGGAGATCACACCTGGCTTTCAGCAGTGCAACACAGGTCAGACCTACCTGCACAACATTGTCGGTCTGCTGCAGAGATATCTCTACTTCACCTACCCCGATGTTTACCGGCAGTTCAAGTCAAAGAAAGCTGCTACATTGAAGGAGCTCATCTTCAGCCAGGTTGGTCTATTTACAGCAAATCTATTTCTGTTCGCATACCACACAACAATTCTGTTAGCATACCACACATCAATTCTGTTGTGATCAATGTGGTGGGCAACCTTATTTTATTTACATAATGACATGATTCTTTATCATAAAAGAATTCCTCGGTGGGATCCCACCCTTACCACAGTTACAGACCATACTGCTTAATAGGAAGAAACTCCATTTATAAAAAATGAAAGTCATTGCTATTATTAATGTATAAGAATGCAAATGTTCATTGGAGTGACATTAGATTATTTTTTATAATTAATTATAAAATTAAAAAAAAAATTTTTGTAGAAATGAGCCTTGTGTTAAGGCTTAGTGCAGCAAATAGAAGTCTACAGAACTGACCAGGAACATGATTAGCTCTCTAATGAGACTGAGTGTTTGAATTTCAGGTTGAGAGACTTGAGGCAAGATACGAGTTGATTGACAGGTCAGATATCTGTGAGATAAGAGACGAGAAGTGCATTGTGAAGGGAAAATGTTTCTACTTTCACGAGAAGTATGTCAGCAGTCAGTTGGAGATTAACAAGGAGGTGGCCAAGTTTTTCTCTGAAGGCAATGAGAAATGTTTCAAAGAACTCAGGTATATTTGGTATTGTGTATGTTTGCTCACAAAATCTCATCTCTAAAACTTAATGTTTAACTCACAGAAATAATATACATATTTAGGCTAAATAATATTGCCTAAAGGATTCGTAAACATGCTTTTTTTCTTAAAAATTGTATGTTTCCAATGTACATAGGAGCTTCTTATCTCAAGCTGTGCCCATTATAGATGGGAAATCTGAGGAAACCATAGAAAGTCTTCTAGGACGACAACAGGTGCTGATAGGAACACTCCCACCAGAGGAAGAAGTCTGGGAGGTTCCACTTCCTGTCATCCCTGTCATTCCAGAACCTGAGCCTGAGATGATGGTCTATGGACAAGGTAATACTTTGTTCGTCATTACAGACTGTGCAGTTCCAAATATAGTAACTGAAGCCAAACAAACTGAAAAAATGTTACATTTTTTATGAGGTTTACTTAGACTCCTGAATTTGTGTCTTTGAAAGCTTTTGACACCCACATTAATACAAAATGGAATAATAATTCTTAATTCAATATGAGTATAAAAAAGAGGTGGAACGGCACTGCCTTCATTATTTAAAAAAATAATTTGAAAATTTATTTCAAAAGTTTCTTACGTTAAAATTGGCCTGCTATAAAACTGTTCATTTAATCACAAAACCCATTTTTTTATTGTCTGTGCTTTTATTTATTATTATATTAAAGGTAATAAGTAATTAAAAATGTTTTATTTGTTTAAATCTATAAAATAAATCTTAATCTTAATTGATTTTATTAATTTTGTTTTTTCTAGTTTGAACCTCTGAGCATTTGAGATACATACAGTTAAATGTTTAATACCCTTGCACACATGGACTGAAAGGCAACTAATATGTTTTCTTTGAAAATATCAGGTTTTGCCAGATCTGGACAACAAGGGGAAATAGCAGCAAGTGGTGACACAGAAAATCAAGGAATTAAATCTTGGCCACCTAGAAGTGGATTGGACAGAGAGCAAAATAACCAGTCAATGAAGTTTAAGAAGGGTAAGAAAGAACCATTTTTGTTAAATTTTTGTAATTGCAGGGAAAAGCCAAGAGAGAAGACAAGAGGATAATAGAGAAAGATGACTTGGATAAAGATAAAAGAAGTCCAGAAAGTGCTTCTGGAAAGTTTTAAGTCTGAAAATAATCTTATTTTCCCCTGATATTTTGTTGTTATTCTTCATTATTTCAGTTTTCTTGTTTTCTTTATTTTGAGTCACCAATATCCTTACAACTTTTTTATTTATTATCCATAACCTCACCAAAAGTTCATAGTATGTTCAGTCACCAATAATAAACATTTGAATTACTCAGAATTAAGATAAACATCTTAGAAAATATAATAGGTTAAAAAGAATTCACCCACCCCATTATTTCTTTGCAAAAAAATAATTTTTATTTTGTGACCCTGTAGATTCATAACTAGTTGCCAAAAAGTACTGTTATTAAGTTTTATTTAAGTTAAATAATCATATGTTTTAAATCTTATGGCACTGACTTCTGATTCATCAAAGCTTTAGCGTTCTTAAAAACACTAACAAAATTAAATTGGCGGGTGTTTTCATTAGTTACAAAGGCAACCAGTGAAAATTTTTTTTAAAACCTGTTGTGTATCTCCATACCAAAGAAGGTTGAAGTAAAACCCATTTCATTAGAAGTCTTTAAAAATTGTAAATTTTTCACTTACACCTCCCCTTAAAAAATAATGAACATGAGATTAACCCACAAAATTTTGAATTTTATGAATGATTTTATTAAAGAAGTGGGTGTAATTTAAACATGTATTTTTTTTTGTTATTGGGTTAACAGAGAATAATGGTGTCAAACAAATAAAGTTTGAGACTTATTGGTTTAGTAATATTGTTGTTTTAATCATGTAGAAAACTTTCTTTCATTCAGACATGAGTAAAGCACCATCAGGCATCTGGCCCCCTCCTCAAGCTCCTGGACGTCCCAATGTCTCTAAGCTTCCTTCCAACATCAAATTTGAAACACTTTCAGAATCTCAAGATGGATCAAGTGTAGATGGTACAGGGCACAGTGTCGAGAAAGGGTCCTCGTCTAGTGGGGGACACACTCGTGAGGGTAGGCCAACTGATGGTCAGTCTTTCAGCAGACAAGTTTCAGCTGATCAGAGTACTAAAAGGCCAGAGGGTCAAGGGTCACGCCAAGGAGATGGGTCAACTCAGAATCTTGATGGAGCACCTCAGAAATCACGGCAAGGCGATGGATCAAACAGAGGGCGCCAGGTTGAAGGCGCAGACCAACGATCTCATCAGGTTCAAGGATCGACTGACAGACCAACTTCAGGAGATTCCACTCAGCAGAAGGGTGAAGATTCTCAACATAAGACTGTGGCTGATGGGGACAATACGATGACAGGTGAAAAACGTAGGTGTCCCTGCTTCCAGCTTCTTCTTTTCACTGACAAACTAAGACTAACACTGTTATCAATTTAATAACTCATGATTAAAACTATGGAAGGGTATTTTTATTTGAGAAGATGAGAACAAATCTCTATCAAAAGTTAACATTTATTTACCTCATGAGAGCTGTTAATGTAAGATTTACATTGTTTTTCAAATGGTTAGTCTCAGTTTGAGCTAAATATAAAAAAATTTTGTTTGCTTTCTTTTGCAATGAATGTTAATCTTATTCCTTTAAGAACAGTTTGACAATTTTATTTCTTAACCTGCTTTTTTTTAAAATTGTTTAAATCTTAACTATTTCTTTTTAATGTTCCCATCCCATAAATAACAAAAATTATTTTAAAAGTTTAATAGCCTCAGATATATAGATAATTTCTAACCCAGTAAATGTCATTCTTTTGATAAACACACATTTTCTCTCTCTGCACATATACTTACATGTATATATTTTATATATATATATATATATAGAGAGAGAGAGAGAGAGAGAGAGAAAAATAGCATCAATGTCCAAGACAAGAAATACAAATGTAATTCCTCCATAGTCAGAGAGTTGTGTTGTAATTAATCTTTTGTCTTGCCAGGGTTTGCATTTTGTGAGAGGAATGTCAATCTATTGTCATGCTAACTTTACCGATCCCTCTTACTCTTACTAAAAATGGAGAAGAAAAAAAAAGTCTTAACAAAAAACTAATTTTTATTTTTAACCTTTTAAGTTTGTGACAAAATTTTCCCCATGATTTATATTAGACAAATGAAAATGTTCATAATGCCTATTTGCATTCCCCTTCAAACGAATAGAGTCATGTAACCCCATAAACCTGTCACACTGTTAGACCCTTAAATGCTGTATGGAAATTCCCCAATATCTTAGAACCTCACTATACCATCTCAAAATTTCTAAAATCCTTAAATTTACTTCATGGACCTCACTTCCAGGAAATCTATAAAACGTTCAGAGAGGTTTAGAAACTAAAGGTGCTATACACAACTCCCCTAATGTTCTAAATCTAAAAAAGGTGTAAGTAAAAGTTGTCCAGAATTTTCTTACATCATACTTCCTTAAAATTGAAGAATCTCAGAAATCTCTAGGAAGCAAAATAACCATTAAGAAATTTCAATAACTTTCTAGAACACTGTCAATCGATCTCAAATTTTCTGGAAACTTTAAATATCATTTAAAAAATATCAAAATTATAGAAACTTAATTTTTTTAGAATCTCTTGTAACCATCTTGAATTTAGTAGATACTTTAAGAATCTTCTGAAACCTTGTTGCCTGAAATTTAAATAATTCATCTTCTAAATATGTCATAGTTATTTTAGTTAATATTGCTTTTGGGGCACTAGCCTTAAATGAGCCTTAAATGAGCTTAAAAATGAAAGGTAGGCCTATGTATATCAATTTATATCACATTTCATGAAGTAAAAGTTTTTAATGAAATGCAAATTTATACCTATTTTAAAAATATTTTTTTATCATATTAACTATCTTCTAAATATAAAATTGTTAGAATTCATTTTATTTACCAGTATTATTCTTGTTTTTGACTTATTTTGTTTTAACTTTGTAAGTAATTTTAAAATATCAGGATTTATTTATTAAAACACTTTTAAAAAATGGTACATTTTAAAAACCAAGGTTGATCCATTGGGGGTGGTGGGGTGGTGGTGGTGTAATTAAAATACATTTTTTATTCAGATGAATTTTTTGAGCCCTGATAAACAGTTTAATATACAGGTGAAACAACTTCTTTGATAATGAAATTTTTCAAATATTAAATTATTAATCAACTTCTATATTGAAAGATGTTATTTTAGATAAGTGCTTGTAATGTGTTAATTTCTTATTAACTCGCTAGTGTGTTAATTACTTGGACACGATTTATAGGATTCAGTTCTATTTTGAAACTAAAATAAACTAATTTGACATGAACAAAGTATTAAGTTTGAGATAAAGGTTGGAGCAATAGGTTTTATCCACAAAATTTACTTTTTAAAAATTTTTTTTTTATTTTTATTTTAATCACAGCTTATTTTTATTATGGATATTTAAAGCATTTTCTTTTAACATATCTGTTATACTTCTTGAATTGCAAAATTATTTTCATCTATTTATATGCAACCTTGTTATTTTCTAAATACAAAATACAGCTTTGATGTTTTGCTGCACAAATGTATATTATAAACTTGTATTGTATAGTTCTCTGTGTTAAATTAGTATGCATCATATATTATCAGATTTACATTTTTTTTTAAATTTTTTATAAATATAATTTTTGCTATCAGATTCCCAGTTCAAAAATGTTACTTCCATTACAACAATTTGTTGAGGAATTTTTTAAAAATGAAATCGTTCAATTTAGATGAATTAGACTTTAAAGATTTATTTTGCAAGAGTAGCATAAGAACATATTTTATAAAAACGTAAACCTCTTAATCAAAGATGAGCTACACATCTGTAAATCTGTCAGCGGTTAGAAGACGTCAGTTATACCAGGTGTTGTTAGTCGATTCACTTAAAAAATATTTTACTCTTAAAACAATTCTTAACAGTATTAATCCCTTGTTTGTGGTACAGAACAATAAATTATCTTTAGGAACATGGTGCAAGCAAGCACATGGAGCTGTTGTTGGTTTTCTTTAAAATAAATAAATAAATAATAATATAAAATAATTATTTTTGTCTTTTTAAATAAAAGGAAAAAGGAAGTTGACTGAAGGCTCTAGTCAAGATGATAACATGGTGTTCAAAAGAAGAAACTCTGCAGAGGATCCTAATCCTAATCTAGAACTGGTAAACTAATTGATTAATTTTATTTTATTTCTGTGAAATTCATTTTCAGCCACAGTGAATTTCAGTCCACAGTTCATTAGTTTAGTTTTCATCAGATTTTGTGGTCATTCAGCTAAAATTCATTTAGACGTTATTGAAACTTCCTCAGATAATTTCAGGCCTTTATTAGTGTAGTTTTCACCAGATTTTCTGATCATTCAGCTAAAATTCATGAAGAATTTATTGAAACTTTGGATCTGGATCTTGTGGAGATTTCACCTTTTTGAATTTCCCTTTTCTGTAGGGGGTTAGTGACACCACTTTAGTTCCTAGAGCTGAGGAACAACGTTCAGTTGTCGGATGGGGTGAGCCCTTGCCTAAATCTACTTCAAGCAGCCGGGAGGTGACCCCATCCTCTTCCAGCTCAAACCAGGACATAAGAAAGGTTGGAAAAAACAAAGGAATGCTTCATTTCAGTAAGTATCTGGTTACTGGATAGTTGTAGGTCAGCAGTTTTCAATCTTTTTTTTTTTTTTTTACAATTTTTTATAATAATTTTGGAACAGATTAAAACTATGTATAGGTAATGGATCAATTCTACTACACAACTTACAAGTATTTAACCAAAAAATTCTGGCTGCTTTGGTGAGTTCAAGGCAAAGTATTTTTAATATTAAATAATATCGATTATATTGTGGTCCCAACTTCTTGATCTTTTTTTTTTTCTTTTAACACTAATTTTTGTTTTCTATACATCAAAACATTTCAACACACATGTGAATCTTCGCCTACCCTCTGTCTGTTTTAGAAGCTATAAGAAGACATGTTAAAAATGTTGATTGGGTGGGTGACTGCTTGCCATTTTCAATTCAATCTGTCTGATGGGTGACTAAAGATCTGGATTTTTTTTCACAACAAATACTTTGCACTCTAAAGTTAACATTTAAGTTCTGAATGAAAAAGTTAATATTTTTTCCATTAGGCTCACAGCTAGAGCCCTCAACGGTCAAATGTTTTTTCTGTATGTATTTCAACAAGTATTTAATCTGAATTCCCACATACTTGTAACTTATGCCTGACTTGGATTTTTTAGTGTCTATATCTTTAACATTGTTAAAGATAAGCCCTCCAATCAACTTGAGAGGCCTGATGAACGTTTTGGCATACTCTAACCAAAGTCAACAAAAGCCATAGTCAAATTGTCACTTCATGAATTAAAAAAAGGCTTTAAGAATGAAGGGAAAAAGCTCTATTGTCTTCTAGGACAACAAAATCTTTGTCAAATTTATTTATTTGCAAATCTCCATGCACTTTGTCCTTGAATTATATCTAGTTAAATTTTTATAGCATTGTTATATAACAAGGATATAAGGTGAAGACTGTGATCGGGTTTAGTAGTAGGTAATAAGTAACACATGCTACGGACAACACTTTTTTAAAATTTACAAGTAAATGTTTATATTTCAGGCATACCTCTGTGGAATGAAAGCAATGAAGACATTGTGTACACAGAATTAGCCAGGGGCGACACTCTGACCTTACCCCCAAAACAGCTGGAGCCCGAGGCACATGATCGGGACATAGGATTGTGGGGAGAGATGCTTGTGCTTGACTACCTCATACGTCAGAAGGACACCAACAGTAACATTGAGGCTGTGCTCTGGGCTAATGCTGATGGGGAGAAGGGCTTGCCATTTGACTTTGAAATAGTTTACAAGACAGATGATCCGGAAAAGCTCCACAGTGTTTTTGTTGAGGTAGGCTTTGTTCTGAATATTGTATAGTTTTGAAAAAAAGAGCTTAGTAATTAAAACTTTTTAGATACGCATTCCATGACCAGCCGCACAGACTGAATTAGTGAGACTCGGTAAAACCTTGAATATCCAGTGGAGGCGTAGCTTGACTGGTATAAGGAGATCCGGCAAATAGAATATAGGCCTGCAAAGGGAGGAACCATCTTCATGACCGCATTCTGTGTAAAAAAAAAAAAATAAGCACATTGCAAAAAAGCATGACAAGATACTCTGATGTTTTAGGATTATAGCTTTTTAATAAAACTACAGTTATTATTTATATAAAAACTGCTTTTATTTTATATCACATGGTATGTCAGCAATTTGAAAATATTGGAATTACAAAGTTTACAATAATTATTCTGGAAAATCCATTTTATACTGTAGGCCTACTGTGCTTTTGTGTACTTTCTTTTTGTTTTTCTTTTTCCGTTTTAAGGACTTTTTTTTAAACGTTTACCTTTGGCTAAAAATTCTATAAAAATTATTGTCATTTTGAAATTGCTTTATTATTTTTGTATTTTTAGGTGAAGGCCACGTTGAGCTGGGATAAAGAGGTCTTTCATGTATCCTCTAAACAAATGGAATTCGCTTTAATGCAGAAGGAGCAGTATGAAATCTATCGTGTTTATGGCGCTGGAAACAGTAACCCTAAATTGGTGCGGATAGAAAACATAGCAGAGAGGATGCGAGTTAAGCAAATACATCTGTTTATGGTTATATAAAGTTCGTAATGAGGTTTACAACTAAATCATAAACGATTGAATCATGCCTTTTTATTTAAAGCAGCTTTTTACATGAGCCTTAACGTTTTTTCTTTTTGTTTCTTTTTAGTGTCATCTATCTTGAGCTCAACAATTCAAAACTAATATGTTTAACATTATCCAAACTGAATTATGTGCTCATAGTTTATTTGTATTTTAATTTAATTTTTTTATAATCATGCTCATGAATTTTTCAACTGTATGTTAACATTTTAAATTTTTTTTTTTAGTTTTACCTGCACTGTAGATACCTGACTTTTTCTTCATTGAACCATGTTATTTTAACCTTCTTGCAGCTTTTTTTTAAAACCTGGAAATTCCTAGTTAGGAATTTATTGATAACTTTATACAAGATGGTTATTTTATAACATTGTGTTTGAAGCCCTTGCCATGATATAATTAGAAATATTTGCAATTCAACTGATGCAGTATTGTCAATATATTCTGGGTCCAGTGGTCATATTCTGACAAGTCTGTCACTTTTAAAAATGTACATTTTCCGGTGAAATTGAAAAGTAAAAAGAAAATTTTCAGAGTCCATGACATAAGGTTGTGTTGCATTAAATGCAAGGAGTGGCTGAAGTTGAATATTATATTCATTGTTCCTTGTCAATGTGTGACAGTTACTCCGAATGCATTTTATTTATATGAGTGACTCTGTTGTATTATTTGTGTAGACCAAATCCATCTAAATTGTCACTCTGAAGCAAGCAAAGCCACAGAGAGTGTATGTTTATTTCAGCCAGAGCTACAGAGAGTGTATGTTTATTTCAGCCAGAGCTACAGAGAGTGTATGTTCATTTCAGCCAGAGCTGCAGAGAGTGTATGTTTATTTCAGCCAGAGCTGCAGAGAGTGTATGTTTATTTCAGCCAGAGCTGCAGAGAGTGTATGTTCATTTCAGCCAGAGCTGCAGAGAGTGTATGTTTATTTCAGCCAGAGCTACAGAGAGTGTATGTTTATTTCAGCCGCTGGTCGTGTAGGATAAATTTTGTTCTTTTAAACTGCATTATCTATTGAACAATTTATATAATTTTGTTATGATTCATTATTTTATAAATAATTTATTGTGTTGATGAAAAATGAAGGTTTTTTAGAACTCATTTGATCTCAATAAGTCACATGCTACAAAATTTCTAATATCTACCTTTTTTTTTAACCCTTGAACTGGGTCGGCCGAAGAAATCGGCAAACATTCTCGTTCTGTACTGTGGCGGGCAAAAAAATCGGCAGATTGAAAACAGGGTTCGATAGCAACTTCCAATCCAATATTTAACCGGATTTATAGCCACTTCCTTTTATTAATGATTAAATCATCTTTCGGGTCAAGCTGTTTCTTGATAACTTTACAATAAGTACTTTTTAATCAGAGTTTTATATCGCTGTTTTCTTTAAAGCTAAAATGGTTGACGCTATGTCTGGGCCTTCAGTGCAAGAACTAATAGAAATATGTTTGAAAGCTTTTAAGGAGAGGATTTAAGTGATGCTGATGATGATGTTAACATTCCCCATGACGGTCTCAGTTGAGATTCTTCTCGTTAATCTTATTAACCAGTCTTAGTGATACTGAAGTAAGCCTACTGTTAGACTTTGAGCCAGGCCCAGAGGTTGGGCAAGGACTGACTGAATTTTAGTCACAGAAGCTACAGATTATAGATCAGAACTAATAAATTTTATAGTTAAACAACCCAAATCAGTTCCACATTTCCATTTTAAATGTTTACTAGTCAATAATAACTATTTTGCCTATTTTGTGTATGTTGTACTTGGTTTTAACTTTTGTCCCTGTTTCTTATTTTTTCAGTAATACATGACCTAAAATTGCTTTCAGAGGTTTAATTGTAATCAAAACCTTAGCAAACTATACATTTTCTGAAAGATAAATGAATTGGCTACAACATTTAGATAAAGTATTTTAAGAGTATCTATAAAAATTAATGATGTTATGGGCACTTGAAAGCAAGACACTTTGTTGATTTGTTTTTTCTTGAGCACTCCAAGATCAAGGACACTGAGCAAAATTTTTTTTTGCGAGGTGGGCAGTATAGCCAACTTTATCCCCATCCATTTACCTTTTCTAAAAATATATACTTATTGGGGTCTTGTATCAATATTTTATATGTCATTTAATGCAATTTCAAAAGGCACTCGAAAAGCTCTGAAAAGCTCCCACACTACAGAATGATGAATGCCACAGTTCTAGGGTTAAATAATGATATCAAAATATCAGTGTCAGCCAAACATTTTCTTGAAGAGAATTGTAACGTTTTATACAAGATTTTTGTTTATGTACATCATAATTGTTATTTTCTGGTCATCAGAATCCACACTCATTTGTTGGATTTAAGCCTGGGGTGTGGGGGGGGGCTTAAAGCTATTTTGTAAGTTTTATAACATTTTAAATTTAAAAAAACATTTGCAGTATAATAAAAATCCTACCATTAAAATACTGGACTTTTCTTTTCCTTTCATGTGTCAGTCTGATTTGAATGTTCATAGATCTAGTGAACAGTGTGGTTGAAGTCTACTTGTATCTCGTGTCAGCGTGCTTGATGTTTCATTCTGTCTAGTATTAGTGTCATTGAATTTTTCATTCTATTCTATCTAGTGTCAGCGTGCTTGCCGTTTCTACTTTTATCTAGTATCACTAGGACTGAAGTGTATTGCCACTGCAGTGTTTTGAATTAAGAGTGAAAACAGAACAATCAATAAGATCATCCAGATTCTAGTGTCATTCCCCCCCCCCCCCCCCCAATCCAGCATAGTAGTTTCTCTATCCCCTGCACAAATTCCACCTGTTGTCCAATCTCTGTGTTCAGCTAGAAAATGAATGATGAGGTGCATTTCTCTCTTGATAGCAAACTGTGCCACAAGTCAAACACGACATTAAAACCCCTTTTCCTTCTTTGCAAACAAAACCAAACTGCGAGTGCATACTTGTCCATCATCTTTTAATCACACAACTTTAGCCCGGCCAGCTAAACAAAGGCGTGCCCCATCTGCAGGGCCCTTCCGTATTACGACCCAATGATGTGATTCTCACCCCCACCGCCCCACACGCGGCCTCAGCAGTCGTCCAACAAATGGGAAACCATTTCATGCACCCAGGGTCTCTTTGTGGGTTTTTCCCGTTTAAGTAGCAGAGAATTTGGCAATTTTCGGTCTTCATCTGTGTGACCAGACTCTGCTGTTGTCCACCAAGGTTCGCTTTTGTTTGCTGAATTTTGCTGAAAAGTTGCCTTGTGGTTGTGCTGTCCACCCAATTTCTTTGCCACACAACAAAAGTTGCCTTGTGGTCGTGTTGTCCACCCAATTTCCATGCCACACAACAAAAGTTGGACTTTGACCATGTTTTGACACCCAGATGTATCATTGGCAGGTCTGGCCCCAGATTTGACAAGAACGTCTGCTCAATCCATAAATACTCTTCCCACCAGACCATTGAAAACAATAATGCAAAAATATATATCAATTTTTCAAAAGACCTATTTGTTAGGTCAACTGCATGTGTTCATCGATGGCTGATCAATTTGCGAAACTTTGCTAACTGTAGGCCCAACTATTGTGATATCTAGCGAGTGTAAAAACAAAGCAACGGTATGACGATAAATCATAAATTCGAAACTTTAAAACAAGTTGTTTTTTTATTTGCTTTAATAACTTCACCTCATTCACTAACAAATTTAAATTGATTTAATTTTAATTAATTGAAATCTGAAAATATTTCTGGCAGATGACTTTTGGGATCAGCACCGAGAGAAGCATTAGTAAATTCTACAATGTCAAATAGCTTCTAAAAACGACAGTGGCGTAGCTAGGGATTTGGGGGCACGGCGGGCTTGGCCTCTTTAGGGGCCCCTGCATTTTGACATTCGACATTATTTAATGAAAAAAAATATTCGGACACGCCTTTGCCCCCCCCCCCCTAGAGTAGGGGCCCGGGGGGACTTTTGAATTTGGACCCCCCTCCCCTAATTTCGCCACTGCCTATACACTCTCATTTTGAAAGTCAATCAACTTTCTGTTTTTATCCAATAGAAGTTGGCGATGAATTAAACAACACCTAAAAAAAAAAACAACGTTTTTAGTATAAATCCTTTGTAAAAAAAAAGTAATATCGAGCAACGAGGGTGGGGCTGAAAGTTTGGCAAAACATGCATACGACAAGTAACGCTCTTTATAATTAGTCCTCCGCCACTCCCAAGGCTCGCAACCGCACATTTTTTCACGCCTCTGAACTACATTAATATTCTAATGACACACCCGCTTTTACACCGCAGATTTATTTCACCAACAATTTTATAAAAACAATAGAAAATATTACGCACCCAATTCGTTGCGATTAAAGGCTGATTATGATTCCATAGTTATATTACTTATATTTCAACTTTTTCAAATTTTAAATAATTTTGAAATAAAAGAAACATCAGATATAATCTACCACGGCCCCCTAAATATACTGAACCTTCTACCACCCCGTGCAGGAACACCCCCACCGCCCACTTGGAGAAACTCTGATCTTATGGAGAAGTACGAGAATTCCTGGGCATGATTTCAGATTCAGATATTCCTGGAAAAACGTCAACCGGATCATATGAATTTAAATAGAATTATTTGACAAGGAACCATTCGCCGTGACACTCACACAGGACAGTGCAGGACACTATAATTAATCAAATCACTACGTATTTAACACATTTCTGAAAATGAAAATCTAACAAATATTTGAATGCAAAATTTATTTAGACATGACATGAAAATAAATCATATAATAACAGTATTCTGTAACAATATCAGAAAAGCAAGTAGTAGGCTTATAATATCCTATATTATATATATGTAGCCTACTTTATAGATATTAATTTCATAAATGAAGGCTATTAATATTAATTACTATGGAAAAATTCGCTATTTTCACATTTTGGTAATCCCAGGTCCCAGCGCCCGCTAAATATACGGATCCTTTTAACGCCTCTCTGGTTAACATCAACGTCCCGTGTGAGTGTGGTGATTAACGTCACAATTTGAGAACCACTACTATTTAATCTCTAAAAGAAATTTTGTTGTTGGGGGTGGTGACACTCGGGAAGCGTCCATGGTGACCATTATTTAAAAACATTAACTTTTTTCTCTCTCACTCGCTCTCCTTCTATCTCTCTCTCCGTTGGGTTCTTTACTTTTAAAATGACTTAGGCCTGTACTATCACATATTTATATGTGTCTATCACTAACTATTATTAACCAGACTGACCAATAGCTGCTACTTCCAATTTAGTTCAGATAAATCGGTAGCAGACTAAGAATCATAGAATGAATGATTCAGCATTCCAAGATTTTACGAAATTCAACGAATCCAGTATTAAAAATAGCATTATTAATTAAATTATTATGCCATATTTTGGCCATGGCCCCTTATTTATTTATTAGTCGTAGTCTTGGGATTAGTCACTAGTTAGAAGAAGGCCTACTTCTACTACTGCTAATTCTAAATCTGGAAGATATATATTAGATTAGATGAAGAGAACGAAAACGAAACTGAAACTATTATTTTAAAAGAAGTAGAAGCAGATGCGCCGATTCCGATCCGATACGGTTTTTAGTTTTAATGCATTTTGTTACGACAACACTGACAACAATGTTATTTTTTGTATGCCTCTGCCATTCTATTATTAATTATCGAGACTGCAATACAATAGTCTACTGAATGAAAAAAAATTATAGTATTAAAGTCTAAGTAAAAAAATCGCAATTCTTAAAAGTTTTTTTGTTTAAGTTGGTTTGTCTAATTTAAACAGTACAAAAAACAATGGACTGATTGAGTGACTCGCCTGGTAAGTAAGTAAGCTATACGCCTATACTCTATACAATACTATACTCTATACTCATACTGGCTCTACTTAAATAATTATGACTATGACATTTAATAAAGGCCCGGGAGTGTTTGTGTGTGTGTGTGGGGGGGGGGAGGGGATTTTCCCCTGGCATTACATTTTTTTTTTTTTTAAATTAGGGCCATAGGCCATATGCGGGATAGCAACCGATTGGAGTGTTTGTGTGTGTGTGTGGGGGGGGGGAGGGGATTTTCCCCTGGCATTACATTTTTTTTTTTTTTTAAATTAGGGCCATAGGCCATATGCAGGATAGCAACCGATGATCTACAGTCTACATGTGTCAATGGATTTTTACTCTTCTTAAAACTAAAAATAAAGTATAATATGAATATGTTTATTCATTGGCCTTACGATTGGCAGGATAATCGTCGACGGCGACCAACCATGCATTCTCAGTCATAGTCATTCTGTTAAAAGATAAATAAACTTTTGAATATCACATTTTCCCCCAGTTAGATTGCTCATATTTTTTATAAAAATGTAAATGTAACTAAATTTTAAAAACGTATAAACTATAATCATAATCTTTTTAAATTTATCTTTTTGTGATAAATTAAAATAGTAATGGCCTGACTGTTAACTGTTATGAAGGACCAAAAATGCTAAAACTAAAATCAAAATTATTATAAGATGCATAGATTTACATTAAAAATGAAATAACATTAACATCATTCTCATTTCTGAAATCTTTTAAATTAATTAGATCTCTGTTATTTTTGTGTAAATGAGTTTATATTAATACTATTAAAAAAATTAATTCTCAATGTTAACTTTATCTCTTCAGATGTGTATACTTTTCTTTAATTGAAATTCCTATTTAAAGAACTCCAACAACAATGAATGTTCAAGAGCGAAGAGATGCATTGAAGAAACATTTGATTAGCTATTTGAACACATGTGAGGGGAAAAAATGTCAACGGGATAAAATTTGGGTAGAGATGTCTCAGTATCTGAAAAAATCTTTGTCCAGAAAAATGTATGGAGTTGAAAAGATGAATGATCTTTTAGAAGATTTTGGAGATGTCATACTAGAAAAGGATGGTTATATATTTCTGGAAAGCTCATTTACTGATTTAGAACAGAGAAAGGCTAAAAAGCAGAGACCTATACATCAAACTGATGCAAGGCCCTCTAAAAGTGTTGACACTTTTCTACAAACAAATCCAGGTACTAGTTTAACAAAAACTCACAATGTACCGGAAGCAAGTGTAATTAGACCTGCACTGTCTGAGCCCCTTCAGGATGAACCTTTAGGTATGTGCATATAATCTGTAAGACTGGAGGTAAAAAATTATTTTAACCTACCAATCGCATTTAAAAGTACACTAATGTGCTAAAAAGATTTAACTTTTGTATTGTACAAGTAAAATTATAGTTTTCTTTTCAAATGAGAGTAATAGATATTGATAATCTTCAATGTATATTGCATATAAATTACTAGATTATTGTGGTAACAAAATTCATTTAAAATGACAAATGGGACTTCTTACATTGTAAGTTATTTCTTTTAAATAGAATTTTGTTAATTTAATATCTGATTGGTTTTCTTTATCAAAGTGGCTATTCGGACCCTGGTCCGAGAAGTGAGAGGCTGGGATTAAAATTAAAAAAAAAAAATTATTGGTAGGTTGTAAGACAAAATTTGGTATAAAATTAAAGATAATTGAATGGAATATGTGTTTGTAAACTTACTTCTTCAGTTTAACTAAAATAATCTACCATAAATGAAATCCGAATAGCATTTAGTCTAATTGGACCCAGGTCTGAATAGCGGCGATGCGTTTCCGGTTCCATTTTGACTAAATGCTATTTGGATGTCAAATATAAACCCAACTCTCACTTCTCGGACCCGGGTCCAAATAGCCGCAGCCTTTCTTCAGATTATTTAACCATCAATTTCCTCTCTTAATAAGAAAACTGTCATAAATTTTGTTAAGGAAATGTTTTCACAATTAAAAGTTTTAAATGAATCCTCCTAGAATCACTTTTGGGATTTTTCCCCTTCAATTTATAGGTATTATAAGTATTAAGTATTCAATTAGTTTGATACTAGAGTTCTGGCGGATATAAAAGGAGGATATGAACTTGAAATGAAACTATTTGACTAATTGCTCAGGCATGATGATACCAGCTGAAAGGGGACTTTTAGTAGGCCTAACAATGCCTTTTAGCTGCATAATGTAGACATAAACCATTAATTTGTCTGTTCCATCTTATTTAGAATTAGGATGTTAAAAACTGCTTTACTTCACCTAAATGTAAGAAAATTTCATTGTCTTTAGGTTTTGGAATTGAGAATGATTTTCCCTCACTTCATACTTCCAAAGCTCTAGCAAAAGCATCTCATAAAAAAACAAGAAATGAGGTATAAGGGTGATTTATTGTTACAACTCATTGTGGTTGGTTTGAAAAAAATCTTAAATATTCATGCACAAAGTAAAAAAAATATGCTTACTTCATGAGCTTTCATTTATTGATTACAACGTATATATTTATGCTGTGAAGCACTTTTTAAATTTATAAATGATTAAATAATGTATCCCATTGTCAATGAAAACATTAAATACTAAAACTCATTGTATTGATATTGATTAATAGCAATCTAAAAAAAGAAAAGTAATGCACCTATTAAAAAATAATATATATTTTGTTGGATCAGATTACATTTTGTTTGTTCCCCACATTATTCTGCCTTTTTACATTATAGAAACAACGAAGTTTGAAAGATAGCAACCCTAATATTCAAATGACATCACCCAGTTACTCTGTGGATTCTGAAATACTTACAGCAGTGAGCAAGCCAACTGTAGGCCATTCAGTAGTTAATGTGCATGATTATGGTGCTGCAGAGTGGCCAGATATGTCTGTAAGAATGGGAAAAGCGCCAGGCACAAAACTTGAAATTAAGGTGTTTGAATTTAAATTTTAATTAAGATATTACCAATGACACAAACCCCCCCTCCCCCCCTTGAAAAAATTCCTGCAGGTGCCCATGTTCTTGATTAACTTCAATTGAACATAAACTAGCTTTGGAATTTAGTGAAGTTATCTAAACAACTTCTTTCATGAAGTAATGTCAAATTCTATTATTATTAGAAATTAGAAATGAATTCTTTGTTCAGTTAACTTGTAACAATTTTTTTAATCAGGTAATTTCTGTGCCATCCATTTCCTTGACAAAAGGAGCCCGTCTTACAGATGCTGATGTTAACCAGCAGATCATGTATTGTATTGAAACACTAAACACAGCCAAAGAGCATGTTACACTTCAAGCAGTGGAGAACCTCCTACTCAAGATGTATAAGGTAATGAAGAGGTCAGGGGGCACCACCTACAGAACAACAGGAGTCTATGTGGTCTAAGCGCATATTTGGTAGGGTGTCGAATAGTATGGATAGATAATGTTTGTCAATAGGAAGACAAGTACAATATAACACTTCCACATAAATTAGAAATAACCATTTTTTTCTAAATAGCTTTAATGTTTTTATTTTAAGTGAATATTTAAATGTTGGGAATATTTGTTATGGTTATTTCAAAAACGTATGTTTTTATCCGAGTTTGTCTCTCTGTTTCTTAGGTTAAAGCATTTCATCAGCTGAATCTGCCAGAACGATTCTTTTACAGTATGCCAGCAGCAAAGGAGCACCAAATGCTTCTTTCCAAAGTTCTTGTCTCTATACAGACTTTTGTAAGGAGCAGATCACTCTGCACCCTCTATGAACTTGAAGAGAGCTGTAGAGAATTTCACTCAGAAAGAAAAAGCTTTGATCATCTGAAATTAGGTCCATTGCAAAAGATACCAGTTGTGTAAGAATATCGTTATCATTTATAGACTATATACTTTAAACCATTACCATTGTTTCCCCGACTAAAAGAACAAACTTTTAGTCAAATAAAAAAAGATTGAAAACGACCATAATAAAAAGATTTTAAGATGCATCTATAAGCATCTGTATCATGAAAATAAAATTTGCAGATCATTGATTCCTCAAAGCATCAATTTCATCCATACTTTTATGTGATTATTGGACTGTTTTTTTTCGTTGTTAGTCACAACTTCACTTTCTTATCAGCCCAAAAACAACTTCATGTTGCAGTTGTGTCCCTTCTTATTTTTTTTCCTGTAAATTTATGACTTTTGGCTAATTTAGTATAATCTATTATTCTATGGCATATTATAGATTCATACATATAATTTTGCTTATATGTGTTGATGTAGAAACATGTCAATTATAGTTGAATGCTAATTGCACAAAATAGAATTTGTTTTATTTTTAAAAAATTGGGTAGTTGAGAACCATAAGCAAAGAGCTTAAAATGTATGTTGTCCAGAAATATATTACAATAGAATGCTGATCATCGTAAACACTGGTTATCCAAAAAATGTTATTACTAAACACCAGAAAACAATTTGGAACTCTTTTGTACAATCCGGGTATTGTTCCATATGATGATGGGATGATGCCATCTGCAAACTTGTTAAATAATATATATGGCAGAATGCACACACTCAAAGACGAACTTACCTTGTATTTTAGTCTAAGCACCTTTTTTCTATTTTTGCACACAAACTCTTTCTGCCGAAAAAAGTATTCCAGTTACAGGTTTTTGATCATAATTAATTTGACTCCAATACACTGTGTGAGATGGTAAGACACATGAAGCATTAGCATTTATATCCTATGCACTAACTTCTTAAACTTAAACATAACCTTTCAATTGAATGTTCAGTTATCTAAAAAAATAGTTTATCTGAGTCCTAATTAGTTCTGATAATGGCAGCTACTGTGTTTATGCATATATAAAAAAGGGTTGTCCAGTGCATAACAATGAGTCTCTATTAAACTATCTAAAGAAAAATATTTTTATTATTAATCATGCTATTTTTTGCAGTTCTAAATTATTTTGCTGCATGTTTTATTATTTATTATTATTTTTTTTTGTGTGCATTTTTCTGGTGCAGAATGATTCAATGAAATATAAATAAAGTATATAAATTTAGTAAATTAATTTCTTGAAATTAGTGCCAGGTAAAGGTAGAGATTGTAGGGTGTATGTGTTTGAGAGGTTCAGGTGTAAGTGGGTTGGGGGGGGGGTAATTGGGGTAGAGGGTAGTGAGCCAAATGGAGATTTGGTGGGTAAAATTTGAGAGTAGGGGAGGGTGTGTGTATGGCAAACGTAGGGGAGAGGCAGGGAAAAGGGAGGATTGAGGTAAATAAAGTATATAAATTTAGTAAATTAATTTCTTGAAATTAGTGCCAGGTAAAGGTAGAGATTGTAGGGTGTATGTGTTTGAGAGGTTCAGGTGTAAGTGGGTTGGGGGGGGGGGTAATTGGGGGAGAGGGTAGTGAGCCAAATGGAGATTTGGTGTGTAAAATTTGAGAGTAGGGGAGGGTGTGTGTATGGCAAACGTAAGTGAGAGGCAGGGAAAATGGATGATTGAGGGGTTGCAAGGGGAAACCATCATAAATGACTGCCAAAACAACTTAGATGTTGAACATAGTCATCCAGTTGGGCCAGTGTAGTTTGGTGAGGCGCAAAGCATAGGGTTTTGGGCTGAATAAGGGTGGGGGGTAAAGTGATAATAGTGGGGGTAAAGTGAGGGTGGGGGTAAGGTGAGAGACTCTAAAGATGTGAGATACAGTAGGCCCATGTTTTTTATGACTTAAAATGCTAAAGCATTGAAGCCCACGTCAGAAATAAGTTATTTTACAGTTAAATTTTTATCTTCTCTATTTACAGTTGGACTTATTTTAAGTTTCCCTTGGATGAGATAATTCCAGAAATTGCATCGGTTGATGTAATAGAGCATCTCTTCAATTTTTTGAACAAGTAAAGTATTTGTTTGTTTTTTTTCAAATAAATCTGGGGAAAATAAAAACACATTATTTTTGTAATAAATATCAAACAATCAGGAAATGACAACAGAATATTAAGAAAAAAAATTCCTAATTTTTACTTATCACTTGCATAAAATTTTTTTAAAAAATAATTCCTTCATCCAGGTATGATAAGTGGACTCAGCGGATTAATACTGAGGATTTTATGAAGTATCTTGCAGACATTTATGGGGTCGATCAACCCTATTCTCTTGGCATAAGAGTTGGAAGCCTTCCTCTGGCTATTCAGGTACACATATATTCCTCCATAAGTCCCAGATACATATCAAAACAATCACATTGAACAAGTCATGAGTCTAATGATCATAATCTATATGAAATTTTTTAAGCTTAAAAATGTATTTATCATGATAATAATTTTTTAAATTTTATAAATATTTATAAAAAATTTGATTTATTTATCTAAAGATATTAAATTTATATTATTGTTTCTAAAATGATTATTTAAACATGTGAACTTAATTTTTACGCAATTTTTTATCAAACTTATGTGGGTGGGGGGAGTAGGGCTAGAACTGGAAGTTCAAAATGTATTATGGTAGTTAAAAAAATCATTTAATATCTGGCCAAAACTAACAGCTTAAAGAAAGAAATTAAAAGTAATTAACCTATTTTATGCAGAAATTTTGAATTGCCTTTGTCTTCCAATCAGAAAGAAAAATCAGACACCATAAATAAAAAAAATTAGTTTGCTATTTCATGTAATGCTTGTATACTTTAAAAAAATGCAGATGCTTAAAAAGTCACAGCGAGATGTATCAGAAGCAAGACGAAATTTACGAGAAGATTTAAAGCTTAGACTATGTGAGGACATTAAGGATGCTGTTCAAAGTTTTCATGACAGTCTACTAAAGGTGGGTAATAGAGTTAGCTACTCTTCTCAATAGTTGAGTATGACAAACGATTCAAAAGAACATAGTGTTATTAAAATATTATTGTGGTTAGTAAACCAAAATTAACTATTTGCTTAAACTTGCTGGGGGTAAGGTGAGAGACTCACAATTAGAAAACGAATTATATTTTGAAATATTTTAAACTCATGACTGGCATTTGTTCTGGTGCTAAAAAGGTTAATGCTGGAAAATTTATTGTAATCATTAATGTCATTGCTACACTTTTAAATACATCAGTAGGTTTTGTTTTGAGAGACTTACAGTTAAATATCTATTATCAGTTGATGTATTTGATTTGCCGTATATTCTAGAAGGTGCATAAAATCAAACACCTTTTAAAATACAAAAATGATATGCTTATAAAATTCTTTATGGCTTTAAAAGACGTATCTCAATATTTTTTTAGTCAATAATGTTGTATCAGGTAGATCATGCTGGAACACAAAAACCAAACGAAACCAGTAATTTTACAGCTTTCAAAAAAGCGTCTAACTTTATGTCTGAGAGTGAGTTTCACTTAATATCTGATAGTCGCACTTTATGACTGAGACCCGCACTTTGTGTCTAATTTGGCAGTGTGCTAAAAATCAGTGACACATCTATATTTTTCCAATACAACTAATATTTAAATATGGCTTTGGGAATTTGAGCTAAAATGTGCAGATTTTTTTTTATAATAGCATCTTTTAAAAATAAAACTGACTGTTTGACATAAATGAGTTTTATAATAATTGAAAATTTAGCTAAATATTTTGTGAAAGCTTAATAAAGATTTATAAAAAGAAATTGAAAATAAAAAATATTCTAACTACTCTGGATTACTAATGTGATGATTGTATTAAATATTTCAAAATTCAATATATTCATTTCATTGCTTCAGAAAAATTATGTTCCTTTTAAGAATATTTATGATGATGATTTATTATCAATTTAGAATGATCAAGCTTGTGGGCAGACATTGAGACTTCACTACCTGACACTGTCCCCAGAGGACATAGTTCAAGAGATTTTCCTAAAGTTTGAAGTACTTATTGCTGCCATTTCAGATGACCCAAACAAATCAAATCAAAGCAAGGTTAAGAAGTTGCTGAAAGATATCAACCAGTTCGTTACAGTAAGCTATTATTTTGTGTAAACATCTCAAAAACATCTCTAATTTGAGTATAAGGTAATAGGAATTACCAACTATGTACCATTTGTTGTATCAGGCACACAAAAATGTGTCTGCATCATATCATATTGATTTTGAAGCAGATCAAAGACAAGACAGTCAAACACTTTATGACTTAAAACTGTTTTGTTAAAAAAGTTTTTTTTTTTAAAGTACGGTTTATCAAATTTAATTGCATCATACTGTGGCAGTGTAAAGGCCCTGTTTTTGCGGAAAGCAGTGTGTATCGGTAACACCCAAAAATGTATAGTGGTGTGTCCTCGCCTAACACTAGATCGGAATGTTGACCTCAGATATCTCTTTCACCCCAGTCCGTACACGTACAGCCTCTCTATGGCTGGCTTCTCTCTCCCATAGGGGGAATACTTAAATACCACGGTTTGGACTTTACTTATAAATTCAATAATTTATTTCCTGGGAACCCTAGCATATTAAGTTATAAATCATATCTAGTCTGAAAGGGGACTTTATTCACTATTCCGCATATTTACAAGTCTTCATCGTTATAGGATATTTCAACATTTAGCCATTAAGGGAGTTGTCACCTTCATCTATAGTGGTCCCTACCCCTTCTACTTAAAATATCTCAAAAACTATTTAACTCATAGAAATATAAGATGGTATCTTAGATAGCTGAGACAAAACTGCACAGGACACATATAAGTTGTTAGGGCTTTGGTCAGGGATTTCAATTATTATTCGGGTGTAGTCCCCAGAGTTAGTCATTTTACCCCAGGAAATCGGCCAGAATGCAAAACGTAAACCGTCTTGGTTTCGGTATGACTGAGGGGCTCTCTCATATCTCCGTGCACGGCTTTATAAAGGGGCGCACACTAAGTATGGGGTCATTCGAGGTTTTTAACAGCATCCCTGAAGTGTGTCATTGTTGAGTGCGGCTCATTGGAACGCTCTATAGTGTCCTTTTCCTTAGGACCATTTTCCTTCTTAGCACTGTTGAGTTAGAGTTTAATAAAGTTGTATTCGTCAAGACCTGGATTCCTTCATTTTTTATTAGTAACTGTCAGTCTTGGGTCACCTAAGTTCACCAAACAAGAACCTCATTCTACTATGATACATAGTGGGTAGAGCTATTTCAAATTGAATGGAATTGTTGATCGACTTGGCTATTTTATATGTGTTCAATTCATTTAGCAAATAAATGGGAAGAGGTTGTCCCATATCTGGAAATTACAATGGAATTTATCCTATCTAAAATTAATGATTTTGCAATTATTCATATTTTAACATAATTTATCACCTCTTTTTTTTAGGGTGTTTTAAATCAAGAACTGCCAAGCACATTGTTTCATCTGTCTGTGTGTCTTTCCAATCTGGAAGTCAGCAAAAGGGCTGAAGAGTTTCTACAAATAGAGCTAAAAAAACAAAAGGAGCAAGCTGAGGGAGAATTTCAAACCTATCAGCAGAGGGAAATAAAGCCACCACCTCCTAAAGGTTTTTTAAAACTTTTTATAAATAGCAAGAATAAGAATTTGTTATTTAAATTGAAAAATTAAGATACTTTGTAAGATATACCCTATATTTAAAGCCAACAATTTACTTTTATCTTTTATTCATAAATGGCCACTCTAGATGAATAATTAATTAATGAGGATAAAGAGTGCAACAAAATTTCTTTGTGTGTTAAAAATAATAATTTTGTTTTAAGCAAAATTATAATTTTTATAAGCAAAATTATCCATTTGGCATGAAGCTTAACACATGCAAAAAAAATCCTTTAAAAAGAAGATTTTTTCCTCCATTATATTTTAAATACAAATTAAAGAATAGATTCTTACACCTTCAATATAAATTTAATGTTTATAATAAATACACATAACATTATATTAATGTATGATAAACATTTTTAAATGTTGTAGAGGTCATACATTTATATATCAAAAGACATCAATCAATTTTATGCATAAACAAATATGTTCAAAATTAGAAAAGTTATTTTCACATGCTATATAAACCAGTTTCTTTATTTAAAGTAAAAAAATTAATCTCAGAATGAAACTAACCATCTTAAGAATTTCTTCACCTGTTTGCATTGGACCTACATTTATCATTGAATTAAAGTGGTAACAACTTGACTTCATAAACAAAATCCCTCCATTTATAAATAATATTAAAAATAAAGTTATTGATTGCTTTCTTTAAAAAATTTAGTAAATTTCTATTTCAGGGGAAGTTTTGGAAAAAATTATTCACTATCTCAATCGATACCTTAAACAAGGACACTTGAATCTGTCCAATCTTAAGCATATTGAGAAAAGAGTTGCTGAAGATTTGGATTTTGAGACTTTCCAAGATATTGGCTACGGCACTTTTTTAGATACAATAACAAATGAAGAGAAAATCAAGAAAGTATGTATAGCACCTAATTCTCAATTCCTTTATTAATCTCATTTAAGAGAAATAGTATTTATCTTGTCTTACTAATATGGTAAATTATATTTTAAATTTTAATTCTTTGAATTAGCTTCACATTGAATTATAATATTAAAAAAGTGTGTAGGCCAATTTTTACTATTCCTAATATGGTGCTCTGAAGATAATATTCTTTTAATTACATTAACAGATATTGCCAGCTTATAAAAGCAACTTAGACTGAAATAATAAATGCTTTATGACATCTGTTAAATTATTTTTAAGGATATATATTTGAAAATTAACTTTTAAGTATAAAACTAAAATGATAAGTAAAGCATTTAAATTCAATAAAGCATAAAGAATAACAATTTAATTTATTTAAAGTTTAGCAATGTTTGAAATTAGATTCAGTTGCTGTTATTTACCAATGTTCGTATAAAGGTCTTAGAAGAAAGTGGTGGAACCATGCAAAGCTCTGCAGGTTGGGAACAACATTCTATGTACAGACCGTGTCTTAAGGAACTTTTGCAGTTCATTTGTCAGGTTAAAGCATCAGGTGTCACAGAGGTAAGTTGCTGTTGAAAATAAACGTTCTTTTTTAATACCTTCTTTACTATAAATCATTTACCATGGGATATCTGATATTGCATTAATTGGTGTACTGTGTGCTAAGAGTACACCAGAAAGAATTTATATGGAGAATAAATTGGTCGAAAGATTTTGTACACTCACTCCATGAGACATAAACCAAATCTTTTCCTGTTTTGCGTTACATTTTACTTTCACACAATTCCTTTTATTTTGTTTCTTATTTATGGTTGTAGGGGACTTTCCACCTGCTCTTTCCTCTTTTTTTCCCTTTGCCTTTTATTCAATTGTTGATTTTCCATGAAACACTTGTCCAAGCTTCTTAGGTATGTTATTTTCCATTGAGATTGCACCAACCTCTCTAGATTGACAGATACCAAAAATTGCTTTCCAAAATTAAACTTACAATTTACTACTGATAGTTTTCTAAATAAACAAAGAGGTTTACTGACCTTTACTCAAAGATTTTCAGGAAAAAAAATGGACACTGCAGCACGTATATAAGGGACACTGCAGCACATAAACAAGAAACAGTTAGCACATAAACAAGAAACACTGCAGCATGAAATAAACAGTTTGTAAAAAAAAATGAAATAAAGTAATTCCCTCTACAGCTTCATCACATTGAAAATCTCATCTCTGAACATTATCATGTGAGCAACTTACATTCCCTGGGTCATGGTAGCATAGCATACCTGTACAGTGCACCTGATAAGCCTGGCAAAAACTCATCAACATTTATGGTGCATTTTGAATCTGCTCTGTTAGGGAAGTCCAGGTTAGTTGTCTAATTAATCTTAATCACATTAAGCGGGCCGTTTCCAAACTTTATGAATGTGGGGTGGAAATTTTCAATTCTATTATGGCTGCTGTTAATATTTCATGAAATATCAAAACGTGTTGCATTATAAAATGTTTCTTATTGGTTGATTTCAGATTATCTTCAACAATGTTGAAAAAGTTTGTGCATGTAATAGACAATGTTATTTGATAAAATTTTTAAAATCTTATTTGTGGGATTCTTCTATTTGGTTGTTTTGTTAACTTTTCTAGATTTAAAAACTTCAGTGAAGACGGTAAAAATATTTTCATATTGTTTTCTTCACTTAGGCTAATAAGAAAAGTTCCGCCATAAACTTTTATTTCAGTCTAGATCACATTGGTCAAGCTAAGTTCGGCATTCACGGTCATGTTACAAGGGAGGCTGCCATGGCTTGTTTGACATCCTGTCCTATGTTGGATGATCTGGCTGAATGGAGTCAATGGTCTCTGGTATTTCAACCTCAACATGGTCGGCTACGTGACTTTATTGAAAAATATGGATTAGAAACTGTTTCAATAGAGGGTGAGAAATAGTATGAAATTCATGTGTGTCATTTCATTTACAATAAGCAGTTAACCATGTTTTAATTTAAAATTCCATAAAGTTCATTTAACTCTTCTAACTTCATCCTTTGATCAAATCTCATATTGGTTAAAGTTTAGAGATGCATTGAACATTTTTCATGTGTCATTGACATTTAACATTTTTGTCTGTTTTTGTTTTCAAAGGTACTCCATAAGTTCCCTTCCCAAAATAAATATAAATACTGGTACATTGTATTTTAAAATAGGGCAATAAATTGTGAATAAAGAGAGTTGTTAATGTAAGGTGTTACCTACAATATTAGTTCATAAATATATTAATATTAATTTTGTCCTTAATTTTAATTTGATTCAAATTGTGGGCTTCCGTGATTGTCTTGACCACATATCCATTAAACACCAATGTTTTTGTGCACCTCACTGTAATCTGCATGTAAAATTCGAGATAGTGTCCATAGCTACTGTTCCCAGTGCTTGCAATTTTTGACTCAGAGTCAGTGGCATAGTTAGAGGCGGGCCAACCCTGTTGGCGTCCCCATCAACAAAAGACTCTGCAGTTAGCAGAAATTCCACCCCTTAATTAAACTAAAATAGGGCTGCTCAGGGTAGACCTCCCTCTCTGCATCTCGCTTCCTAGGCCAGGGCTCAGAATTATGTTTTTTTTAAAAAGAATATAAAATTAAGAAACAAATTAAGTTGGAAAAAAAAATTATGCAACAATTGAAATATTTTTATCCTGATGCTCAGCCGTCTTGATGAGCCACTACTTATTTATTCCATAGGTGGCTGTAAGACTGCATCATCAGATTTCAAAGCCTTGGAAGTGGAACCTGGAAAATTCCTCAAGATATGCTCTAGCACTACAAATGAACATTTTCGCAGGGCCCTTGAGGCAGGAGATCCCTTGGCTTCAGCTGGACATCTGGTGTCAATAATTGTTGCCAACAAAGGGTTAGAGAGTACACCCTTGGCCCTGTTGTCCAGTCATGTCAAGAGTAAACTGATTTCCTTGCATGCACTGACTGTTAGTCAAAGAACTCCAGGTAGTGATAAGAACTTGCACCTTAGTTAAAACTTAAAGCATGAAATGAAGTTGTTGATTAAACTGAAAGCTTCCCGGTTCTCCGGTTGACAAGTCTTCTGTGGTGACTTGTCGATTAGGAAGCATCGGCCACCGACCCCCTCGGCGTTACCCGGGGAACACAACTACTGGGCGCGTCCTGCGTGGGCAGACAAGGGATGTGCTCGGTACCTGCCGCACATAAAACAGTTCCTACAGGGCTGCCAGTTGTGATACTTCCCAACTGGAAAAATAGGCAGAGACAGGGTAGGGATCATGATTACAAGTTGCTGTTAATGGATATGAGGCAAGAGGAGAAGGTGGTAACCTCTGGCCGATGATTCTTACTACGCAGCCCTGAGAAGCTGCTCCAAGGCAACCGTTTCATCCCAGCTACATCGCGAATTAGTTGCGTTGTGGAAACCCACTGTAGAATCCCTCTTGTAGGGTGTCTAACGCTTCCCTGGGATGGGTGAGGGAAGATATTATGATGTAAATTTTTCCATTCCGACTCCTGAGAAAGTAGATCGTGCAAAAACAGTGTCGGACCGACCGGATGTCTTTGGGTTAGGACGGCCCCCGGCGGAGACCCTGGTCGAGCAGACAGGGGTGGGGCCTGTCCTGACAAAGGGACATCCCCGACTTGCCGCTCCGCGGCCTGATACCGGGTTGGGGATGCGTGTTTTGGGGAGGGCATAAAGAGCGCAAGCTTGATGGCCCGCTGACGCCATTTCTTAGTGTAACATTAAACTGAAAGAGGTTAATGCTACTTATGTACATAAGAACATTCATACAGTTAATAAATGAACCTAAACAATAATTGGTGGTCATGATTGAGGTGTCAGAAACTTATATTTAAACAGTAAAAAAATAATGGTTCATCTTATAAGTCTCAGGAACAGATAATAATTATTTGCACATAATAAAAATGTGTGTATTCTAACCCCTGTCTCAGTTCTGATATAACCCATCTTCTATTTCAGGTGGTCCACCATCTTTAGAGCAAGGGAATTTAGCCGTTCAGTTTGTGACAGATATCTTGCTGCGGCTCCCAATTAGAATTTGTGAAGCTGTAGCTAATCAGGTAAGTTGTTGCAAAGAAAATTAGGTGAAAAGACAAGAGGCATAATTGTTTTTTTAAAAATATTCTATTGCATAAAACTCTGATCACTGCAATTTATTAACAGGTTCTTCTAGGTCCCTTGAGTGAAGTCGTAGGCTCAGCAAAGTCCAAAAACCTTATCTTTCAAGCTTGCACAATGCCAGGGCAACAACAGAGAATTGAATTGATTGGTAGCCTGCTGGGTGTGAAGGAGTGGACAACTGGCATTGAGAAACGATTTGAGTTTCCTTTGCTTCATGTTATTAACAAAATAACTGATGATTTGCTGGGACAGTCTGATGATGAGGAATACAATGCAGATGTAGGTTTTTAAAAGCTCTCTGTATGATTGAGTTATCAGTAAATGAAATATGTTCATACAAAAGGGAAAGATACCCCTTTCACTGAAATCCTTAGAGCAGTCAAATTTTTTTGGTTGAAAAACAGAATGTTAAATAACAAATAAAACTTTGGTCATGTGTAAGTTTGTTGTAAAATAATAAAAAGAATAATGTAGATAAATTAAGATAAAATCAAACAGAAAGGAACAGAATTACTGGTGTTCAACTTAATCATCATAACTGTTAAGTGATGATAACTCACAGGGGGTTCTGGCCTCACCACTCAGATTCTCAGATGGCTTTTGTCTCCATTCTTGGACCACAAGCTGTTGTAGATCTGTTTTCACTTTGTCAATTCATCTGAATGAAGATCAAGGGGTGAATGATCCAAAAATCATGTCCCTTTTAAGGTATAGATTGTAATCTATTAAAGTTTGTCTGGTTAAAAATGGATGGCTTTTGTTGGGTTGGGTACCCTAGCCTTCCTGCAAGACAAAAGTTGCAAATTTTGGTCCACCCAAAGTATTTTCCTGGTACCTGCCAAATCTGGTGGGCATTTCCCTCTTTGAGACATTAGCAACTCTATGCAAATTATCAAATGTAAGATGTGTGTGTGGGAGAATTATGTCTCTCATTCAATCAATTAGTGTGAAATGCTAAATAATAACTTTTTTTTTTAATAAGGTGAATACCATAGAGGAGTCAAGTGAATCTGATACAGATGAGATGCTATCTGATGTTGAAGATAAAACAGAGGGTCAGAAAGAAGATGAAGTGCTCCCTGAAGGAGAAATAACTCTCAATGATACTATCGATCCTAAATGTGAAATTAGTAAGAGAAACTTCAACAAAAAAGTCAATAAAGATAGGATCTATTTTTAAAACCATAATTCCTAAATTAATTTTTAAAAATTCCATTTCCTCACTTTGAAGAGTCTTTTTAGATTTTTCATGATTATTTTGTTGTTATACAATAAAAAGTTTACAAACTCACTTCTCTTCTATTAATTTCACTTACAACTTATACTTTTTTCTCTCTTTTCCACTAAAGTTTGGAAATCATAGATTATAAATTTGCTAAATATTTAACTGCTAAGGTAAGTAATTAACTTCAGAATCAATTTTGTAAAGTAAATGGGATCCATTTAATGCATTTGTTTTGATTTACACAAATTAGGTTTTCCTAGTGATAGCTGTGATACCAAGATATCTGGCACAGGACAAGCAAACTCTCTTGAAGATAATGAGGAAGTGCTGACAATGGAGGAAAAGTGCCATCTCATTGTTGAAGAGATAAGAAGGGATGAGTTTGGCGTTGGGATCCATCTTGATGAAACTGGACAGAAACTCATGAAAGTAGGTGCTCAGCATGATGCATCATTTTTCGAACAGATGCTTTTTTTTTGTTTTTTGCATTGTGCATTGTCATTAAAACTTGTTGAGAATAGCACCTAATTCTTGTATGAGCCTAGAAACTGACAGAATGAGGGCAGAGTGAACATCTGAACAAGTTAAAGGTGTGTGGCCTATTTATTTATTTCTCTTTGAGATTTATGATAAAAAAACAAGTATTAAATAATATTTCTTGCCAGAAACAACAAGAGCGCCAAGGTCGCAGCCTTCAAAGGTTATCTAAAGACTTGTACAGCAAGGAGACACATTTTGTGCTGGAACTTATACAAAATGCTGATGACAACAGCTATGCAGAGGACATCTTGCCATCGGTCAAGTTTGTTATTGATCATACAGGTGAGGACTTCTATATTCAAAAAAGTGTTTACAATTTCACATATATTTGTTGAGGACCAGTTCCTTTAAATTAATGGACTTCATTTTTAATAAGAGTTGAACTTTGACAAAGTGCTGTGTTTGTCGTTTGGAAAATTTACAAAGATTTATTTCTTGAAATTTACACAGAAATTTTTAAGATAATTAAAATGAAGAGACAATATATATTTTTTCTGCTGTATCTGAAAGATGTAATCCTATCATTAATTTAAAGGTGTGACCGTCCTGAATAATGAACTAGGCTTTGAAGAGCAAAACATCAGAGCTATTTGTGATGTAGGCAAAAGTACAAAGTCCAAGCACAAGTATGGTTACATTGGTAAGCTGGTTCAGTTGTTTTATTCAAAATTCTAATTATGATAGAAATGTATGTAGAGGTGTCACTTAGGCTGGTGTCACCATTAACTCATGATGTCACCCCACCCCAAGATCCCAACCTAACAGTTAAAACTTTACCTTTCTGGTCTTCAAAGATGCACAACTGGCTTTAATTTCATCAAAATTTAAAAAATCACAAGACCAGAAAGCCCATGGTAGATTGCAAATGGTTCTTTATAAATTAT